TATTAAAATTAAAAAATTAATTTATAAATATTTTTATTAACTTAACACATTTTAAAATATAAAATAAAATAGCTAAAATAATATATATTTTTATTTTTACCTTTTTTTCTTTACTAAATTATTTTTTAATATTTTAAATTAATTAATTAAAAAAATAATACTGTTAATATTTAATCTTTATATTTTTTATATAAATAACTTATATATTAATAATTTATTAAATAAATTTATAAATATTTATTTTATTATTATAATCTTATATTTAAAACCAATTTACTTTAAATCTTACCTTTTTAAGTTTCAATTCTTAAATAATTAGATTAAATAATATCTTTTTTTAAACTTAATTAAATACTATATTACTATTTATACAAAAATTATTTATTAAATTTATATATAATTAAAATTTAATAAATTTAATTTATAATAATTTATTTAATATAATATTTTAAATATTAAAATAAATTTTTTTATTAATATAAACATTATTAAAAATAACCTATTTTAAATTATACTATATTATTTAATTATAAATAATATTAAATATTTTACCTATATATAAATTTATTAATATTATATAAATATTATTATAAAAATATAATTTTAAATATATTATTTATATTATTTATAACTATCTTTTAAAATACCTTAAACATAATAATTTTTTCATGTTTAATATTTAATAACTACCGTTTTAAATTATTTTAAAATTTAAAATATTATAAAAATTTATTAAAAAAAAAAATAAAACCTATAAATTAACAAAATATAAATATTTTAAATATATTTTTTTTTTACCAAATAAATATATATTAAATAAAATTAAAATTCTTAATTTAAAATATTTATAAAATATTTATTAAATTTTTTATTATAAAAATATTATTTTATAATATTAAATTAATAATTATAATAATAAAATAAAAAATTATCCTTTTAATTATAATAAAAAAAAAACCGTTTTAAAAAATATTAAAATAATATTTTAAAAACCTAATAAAATTAAAATATTATAAAAATCTTATAATTTAAACTTATTATTAATTCTTTTATAATAAATAAATTTAATTACCATAATTAAAATATTTTTTTTTATTTTTAAATTATATATAATTATTAATAAAATATCTTTATAATATAAAATTTTAAAATAATTTTAATTAATAATTTTTTTATAAAATAATTTTTTAAATAGTTTAATATTTTTATTATTTATTATATTTTTATTTTTATTTTTATTTTAAATAAATTTAAAGTTATAAAATTTTTTTTAAATTTTATTTTTAAATTTACCTTTTTTATTATTAATAATCTTTATAAATTATATCCCGATATATATAAAAAAATAATAATATTTTATTAATTATATATAATATATTTTATTAAAAAAAATATTTTTATTATAAATTAAATTAAAAATAAATAAAATTAATAAATTATTTATATTTATAATAGATTTTTTATTAATATTAAAAAATTAAAAATTAAAATAATAAATTATATATAAATTATAAAATTAAAAAATTTAATTAATTTCTTTAATTATATCTTAAAATAAATAAAAAAATAAATTATTTTTTTAATTTTTTTACAATTATTTCTATTTATATAATAATTAATTTTATTTATATATAATTATTAAAATTATTAAAAATATTTTTATAATAAATTTTCCGATATAATATTATAATTATTATAAATAAAATTAAAAAAATTAATAGTTATATTTTAATTTACATTTTTAATTATTAATTTTTAATTTTTAAAATTATTAAATATATAATAATTAATTATTAATTAATATATAAAAAAATAATATTTAAAAATTTTATTACCGTTTTTATTTTTTATAAATATTAATAAAATTAATTTTAATATTATATACCTAATAAAAATTAAAAAATTTTTTTTTATAAATTTTATTACGTAATGCGATATATTATACTATTATAAAAAATATTAAACATTTTTTTTTATTATTTTAATTCTAAATTTTTTATTTAATAAAATTTTAAATAAAATCTTTATAATATATATTATAATTATATTTATTATAATATATAATAATAATTATATTTATAAATCTTAATAAAAATAAAATATAAAAAATAAAATAAAGAAAGATTAAATTAAGGTATTATAAAAAAAAAAAAGAAATAAAAATTAAAAATTATAAAAAAAATAAAAAAATTTAAAAAAAAATATTTTTAATTTAATAATAGAAATATATAAAAAGATTTAAATAATTTAATAATTATAATTTAATAAAATAAACATTTAATTATAAATAAATTATATTTAAAATAATAAAAAATAAAAATATAAAATATTTAAAAAATATAAAAAACGTTGCTATTTTCTTACCTAAAAATAAGAGGATATATAAAAATATATAACTTAAATTTGGATGGGAGAACATGATAATTGCGCTTTAAATTATAAAAGGCTATTATACCTTTTTATTATTTTAATTTTTTTATTGGAATAATAATGCGCTAAAAATATAGCTTTAAATATATATTTTTAATAACATTTTAATATACCATATTAATATATTTATAATTCCACCATTTCTACAGCAATAAAATTATAAAAAATACCTATAATAACAATAAAAGCCAAAAAGTTAATAGGTATTTTTTTCTATTTTTTGTTGTCTTCTTTTGTACTTTTCTTTACATATATTATATGGTGTTGTTTTTGGAAGAAAATGCTAAGACTGCGCAATTACTTTTCGCTCCAGACTGTCTCTGTCATCTCTGCCCATCTACTAAACGCCGATCTCCTCTTTATCGCTGCCCCTTTTCCATCCACCCAGGCCACGCCATACATAATATCTCATCAAAGGAAACCGGAGTTATTAAATCTCGGGCTCTATTAAGATCTACTTGCTAGGGTAACTAAGGTTTAGTCTGCATACCATCATGAAGCTGAAGTGACGAGTAAGAAGAGTAGACTTTATCATAGGTATCCTTTGAGTTCACTCCCAAGTTCACCAAACTCCAGCATAAAGGCTTAACCGCCGGATCGACAGATGCGCATTAACATCGATAAGCTTTCGAAGCTTTCGCATTACCAAGGTAGCTTCAGAGGGGTCTCAAGGTTATTCCCAAGCACCGTCTCGGCCATTCCAATATCTCCTATTATTCAAAAAGTCAGTGGCAAAAGCAGTTTAGTTCATAGGTTCTAGCCTTACGTGGACCACGGGGAGCCCAGTATTCCCCAGATTTGCTAATATCTAACGTTTCTGTCCAATCCACAAGACTCTTCGCGGCAACTTCAGGAGTCACGGCTGAATAAATATCGCATGTTTTAGCTTTACCGCATGTAATGTCTTAGATTCCGGTTACTTACCACCACCTTCGTCCCAGTGCTTGTCAAAACCGACGCCTTTGGTCATCTCGGTGCGCATGAAACCCGGGTGTACGATGCTAACAATGATACCTTTTTCCTTAAGATCGATACTGAGAAGTTTTCCGCCCATGTTTAACGCGGCCTTGCTTGCGTGGTGCGCGTAGTTGCCGCCGCCTTCTTTCTCGTGCCGTAGAGTGATACTTCCGGCCTCGCTAGAAATCAAGATTATCTTGGATCCGGCTTTCAAACGTTCGTTGTGCACGAGGCGATGCACAATGAATAGTGGTGCGATAGAACTGACGGTATACATAGTCAATTCATCGTCCCAATTCGGCCCTCCGGACTTGGAAAAGTCCTCGGTCATGAATCGCCCGGCGTTGATAATCTACAAGCAGTAAGGTTGGTCATATAATATTGCAAAGTCAACGTATATAACTTACTACGATATCTATAGGCTTCTCTCCTTCGAGCTGACTAGAGAGATTGTCTCCGACATGTTGATTAGTAAGGTCAATTCCAGAGAGCCACTTGATGCCATCCGGGAATCCGCTAGGTGCAGCATCAGATCGTGTGGTCGCATATGTGAGCGTCTTGGGATTTGAAGCGTATTCCTTCACCAGTGCGGCTCCTAAGCCTCTAGTAGCCCCGATTATTAATACAGAAGTCATTGTAGAATTAGCTATAATACTGAATAAGGTGGAAGAGGAGTTAAGTGTGTTGAGTAACCGCGATATGAGGGGACGATGTTTATTTTAGTTTCCGTTGTGTTACAAAGCGTTACCGTTGACGAGGAGAGTCTCAGCACGCCATTGATGGTGAGATAGATGGTGACGTCACTTCTCATAGCTACGATAACTGTTGCTTTTTATGCACAACATAGAACGTATTAATAAATTAGTATATTTGAATACTTCAGCGCCTTTCACAGCCATAGCTCACTAAGTCATCAACTTCAAAAAAGTCAAATTCCCATACCTCTTACACCTATCAGTCTATTTCCACGATATTTTAAATCTAATACAACTTTGTCTACGAGACGCGTCCAATTATATTTAGGTCCTATCTTACTTCTCGAATATCAAAAAGCCATGGACTAGAATAGTTATTAAGTGCTAGAGAACTCTAGGGAGCGAGAATAGTTGGTAATAAGAAAATCTTCCCAGACACAAACACTCGTCCGTGAGTAGAGTAAGGGTCATGAAGTAATAATACTCGAGTGTTGATTTAGAAACACCAATTATGAGGTCAAAATAAACAGTTGGTCGTCTATTAAGTAATTACCCCTAGACGAGATCATGGAAACGTCATCTCTACTACTATACCTCTCATCAAGTCACGTTGAAATCTATACACAAGGTTAAGGAGACTGGATAATTCCAAGTATCACACACCCAGCTTACAAGAAACAAATCCACATATATAAATCTTACGCAAGAGTTCAAGCTCATGACAGACAATAAATAATTGCAAACAGACACGCAAACCACGCATTTTCAAATCTCGTACCCTTCATAATAGCATACAAACAAGACGCCGTGCCCGTCACATTACGACACGTTACGGCGCGTTTTTCACTCTTCCTTCCTCACATTTCCATTATATCTATCACATTCCCTTCAACCCCCTCCCATAAGACCCTCTCGGTCTCATAGCTTACTAGCAGGCGCCGCATTTCCCACCGCAGTAATCTCATCGTACAGCAGAGTCGTCAGGAAATCAGCGTAGTCCTCACCCGTGATCTGGCCCGCAAAATACTGTGATGCGAGGCCGAACTTGTTGCCCTTGGGCGCATTGGCAGCGAGTTGGTCCGTTTGATCTTTTAGGAGCTTTAATGCGTATGCCTTGTCGACTTTCTTACCCTCGGCTGTGGTTACGCCGTGGCGTACCCATTGCCAGAGCTGCGACCGGGAAACTTCGGCTGTGGCGGCGTCCTCCCTGTTTTAGTTAGGTTAGTGTGTGCTTGACGTGGTGGTGGAAAAGTAGAATAGGGTAAACGGAGAGTGGAGGTGAGAAAATGAGGTTAGTTTACTCACATCAGGTAATTAATAGGCACGCAGCCAATCCCGCGGATCCAAGCCTCCATGTAACCAAGGCCGATGTTCAGGTTCTTCCGGATACCATCCTCGGTGATCTTTCCAGGGACGTTCATATTTAGCAAGTCATTTCGGCCGACCTTAACGTCCTCGCGTCGCCGGAACAGCTGGTTCGGCGTCGGCATGTGCTTGTTGAAAATCTCGGAGGCAATAGATGCCAGAGCCGGGTGTGCTACCCATGTACTAAGAAAAGGGACAACGTCAGCTTAGCTTATTTAGGAAAAGGGAGGAAGGGAAGACATACCCATCATGACCAGCGCGCACCTCCCGCAACTTGTCAGCCCTCACACCCTCCATCGCCTTATCATTCGCCTCCTTATCGTCTTTAATCGGGATCTGAGCCGCCATACCGCCCATAGCATGGACGCCACGTTTATGGCACGTCTGAATCAGTAATTTAACGTACGCGTCCATGAACGGAACCGTCATGGTAACCGCGCTGCGGTCCGGTAGGACGAACCCGCTGTTCTGGCGGAACTTCTTAATGGTGCTGAAGATGTAATCCCAGCGACCGCAGTTAAGACCCGAGCTGTGGTCCCGCAGCTCGTAGATGATCTCATCCATCTCGAATGCGGCCAGGATTGTCTCGATGAGGACAGTGCCGCGGATCGTGCCGCGCGGGACGCCTACTGAGTCCTGCGCTAGGTTGAATACGTCGTTCCAGAGGCGCGCTTCCAGATGCGACTCCATCTTGGGCAGGTAGAAGTATGGGCCGAAGCCCTGCTTGACGGACTCGCGCGCGTTATGGAAGAAGTACAGGCCGAAGTCGAATAGAGAGCCCGAGATCGGCTCTCCGTCTACTGTGACGTGCTTCTCATCGAGGTGCCATCCTCGGGGTCGCACAATAAGGGTAGGGAGCACGCGGTCTGTTCGTAGCTTGTACTCTTTCGGGCCTTGCTTGAAGTCAACCTGTCGCCGCACAGCATCGTATAGATTTACTTGGCCATTGATCATGTTGTCCCACGTCGGGGCGCTTGAGTCTGGTGTTGATGTTAGTCGATTGATCAGCCAATAGCTCTTCACCTACCAACATCATCACTACTTCCACTATTACTCACCTTCAAAATCCGCCATATAAGTCCATACTTCTGAGTTTAGCGCATTTACGACCATCTTGCGGTCCGTAGGGCCTGTGATCTCTACTCTCCGGTCGACAAGACCCGGAGCCGGTGGCGCGCCTTTCCATGTCGGATTCTCACGGATGTGTCTTGTCTCAGGTAGGAAGTCCGGCAAGTTGCCTTTGTCGATCTCAGCTTGACGTGCGACGCGACGCTCTAATAGTGTCTTGCGAGTGCTATTGAAGGATCGGTGAAGTAGTGCTAGGAAGGCCAATGCCTCTGGTGTCAGGATCTTTTTATGCTCTGGCTGCACGGTGCCAGAGATGGATACACCTTGCAAGATGCTGTCGGTGGTTGCCATGATTATATATCTTTTGTGTTCTGAAATAACGACCTCGAGATTCGCTTCGTTAGGATATATAAATAGTTAATTACCTCGGACCTTGGGTTCTGATGATGATGTTTAATTTAGTTAATATCTAATAGCTATAAAGAGCTAGGTAGAGTACGAAGAGAATTCGGGAGTAATATATAAAATCCTTTGTCTAGCTTGGTATCCAAAGGGATTAGCGGCAATACGGCTACGGAGTAGATAACAGTGGGTTCCCACGGTTATAAAAAGCAGCGGCGACAAGTTCGGGTGGAAAATAGTGTAAAAGCCAAGGTATGTAACCGCTTTAAAGTTGAGGTTCCCCTTGCCAAAGGGAGGGGTTTCTCAAACTTATGTACAATACAGTACTGTAGGTATGCAAACGTAGATGGACTACCACTAGTCTAGGGCTACCTTCTTACCTAGGTGCGTAGACTACGACATGAGGCGACTAGACAGGTCGCTCTCCGACTATGTTCGGCTGGAAGGAGGGTAGATGACTGGCTACGTGATGTTGATGTAGCCGATGAAGATGGGGAGAAATACCTAGGATACCTTAGGTACTTAGGTATGAAGCTTGTGAAAGTGTGGGGGAAGATGCTACTCCGTGACTTCACGAGGCCGTCGAGGATTTTAGTTCTAGATGCTACAAAGACGTAAAAAGTATACGAGTAGTTATCGGCATGTCATGTATGTATGAAGCCTAGTTCTTTGTACTCGTGTACCACATAGGATCTCTTCACATGTAAAGCCGGGGAAGCTCTAGGTATTATGGGAGTTATTATTGAACGAAGGTAAGTTTAGAGCTTTAACCCCCTGTATCATTGGCCAGCATTCCCCAACTTCTCATCCCCACATCCCAGTTAAAAACGGTACCCTTTAACTAACAATTAACTAACGACGAGCGCTTATTGGTTCGTTATGCCGTAAAGGCGTAAGTCCATCTGCCCGTCGCTCATAAGGAACCGTTTTTATCGTCAATTGGAGATTCTCAGTTGTTGATCATGACGGCATTAATTCTATAATATTTATAATATTTAAGTATCTTATCTTCACGCTTAAATTACCTAACTATAGAAACACATTTTAAATCATGATAACTAAGAGCTACTGTAGCGATATCGCTGCTCAACTACCTAGGCTCCTGTTCTCGGGGATATCTCGAAATGATAGGAATGTGCATGTATGTATAGTAAACATATAGTAAACCGATTCCTTTGATAATAAGAATCTAGCCAGATCTATATGTATGGAGTCCCGAAGATACGGGACGGTAAACAACAACGCTATTGGATAAAGAAACGGGCGACTGGAGTGACGTAGTCAACCTAGAACTCCCGAAGTACCGAAACTGCGATGCTCCCGGCTGCCGAGGTCGGATATCAACCAATTCGAGGTCCTAGATCGCCAGAGTTGCCGAGAGTACCCGAATCCAAAACTACATGCTAAGAATGTACCTAGCAGGCCTATATAGGTACTTTGAATTTTCGCAATACCAGCTATGCTCAATTACATCCTCAATCCTACGCGGATGCTTAGCGATATACTTAGCGATATACTTACTATAACGGACAGAGAAAGTTGAGTGGCTGTATAAACTGACTACCTACCTCTTACCACCTAAGGAGTTTATAGCAAAGGGTCTCAAGTGGGAAGCAAGTGTTCATGTAATTACTAATATATTTGAAGTTTAACGAAGGCGACAGCTTGTCTAGGAAAAGGTTGCATTGTCTTCTATTCTATTAGGAACGATTCACTTGTTATTCGTACGTATCCACCGTTGAGTTACCGGTAATATTTCACATTGATGTCTAAGATGGAAAGTATGTACCTACTCTATTTTACATTCATCTATAGCGGCATTTGAAGAAGCTAGTGTAGGCGAGCTCTGAGTAGCCTGATTGTGGCCCCGGGGTAAGCTACAATTGACTCAGATTAGAAAAGAATGGCAAGGAGGTATACCAAAGGCCATCGTATAACTTTCCTGACTTTCTTTGCACGGCTTCTTTTTACGTTCCGGTAGAAGGGATATCGCATTTACCTCCTCGCTATAATTTCGTCAGGCTTGACTCTGACAGCTGTTGTTGTTCTAGCAGCTATAGTCCAGTTCTCAATACCGTCCACTATTTGAATAATCACCTGGCTCTGATCTCTCGTTGAAACCTTAGGATCTATTGTTGAGTGGTAATAAGGGATGTGTTTGAAGTTGCTGCTGGGATAGTGTTTTCCGGATATCCATTCTTTAAGGTATTCAAGCTGATCTTGGCTAATCTGAAGTTCTAACCATCCTCGTATTTAGTACGGGACCTTAACACGGATTTCTGCAAGACGCGTACAGTCTGCTACCTGGTATAAGTGGCGATACTCTCCCACATCTTGCAGTATCTCTTCATAGTGTCGTCTATAACTTCGTAATAGAAGAGGCTGATGCAGACATCGTCGTATCCACTACGGTTTAGTTAATTTAGAATCGCGATGTTCGTCTGACCATGGTAGCTCATAAGCCGAGGAGATGCCCCATGAAATGTTGGAGGACATCTTTAAGCTCGGGATCGCTTAATAGAGCTGTAGTCTGGTATAGATGCGGTCTATGCAAGTGTCGATGGAACCCGATATCTTCTATCCACATGTTTGGCTCCTGTCGGCTGCTCGACTCGTCTAAGATGGGATCGGCTACCGCTACCATGGCCGCTTGCACTGTTTCCTAGTCTTCTCTCGCTTTAGCTGGATAGCTTTCTTGGTGTGTGGGACGATTGCTCTGGGTATAGTTTTATTTAGTGCCTGCATTTCCGTTTCTTCAAGGAGTTTGAAGCTTGTGGCTTGTGTTGCAAAGTGGCCAGGAATGGTTGAGGCTGTAACGTGAGAGGTTGGGAAGCCCAACTGCACCCAGAGTTCTGGCGAGGCGCGATAGAGTTCGTGCATATGGGCTGCAATCGCGGTCTCGCGAGCCTCGTTGGTTTTGGCGCGACGCACTGCGTCAATGAACAGGTTGACGTTGCGATAGGCGGTGTCTCGGCCCACGGTGACGATGTCGCCGGATCCGAAAGATTCGTCCAGGTCTGGGTGGAACACGCCGATGTCTCTGACTTTGAAACCATCTAGTTGGATTTTTCGTTCCGCGGCTATGCGTCGTTCGCGTTGGCTGTCGCGGACTTCGGTGAGGAAGTCGTTGATAGTATTGGGTGTCAGTCCCAATGTCATCTGTAGAGCGACGACGTGCTCGGCGATACGTCGTCTGCCATCTTCATCGATATTGGCGAGGTGATAATTGAAGAGGATCGGCCGCCCATGGCGTACACAACTTCGTCCACGTTGCATCATGGCCTCCATGCGTAATGGGGGTATCATACGCTAAATTTCAAACTTTCTGTGACATTTCTACTAGTGTTTAACTCGAGACTAGTAAATTGATGATCGGGTAGACGCGCAACCAGGCCCCTTCCCTGGCGCACCAATCGGCTAAGGTCAAGTATATTTTTAAAGTCTTTGATAAGTTTGAAAAGAGGTCGTTTTCTTGTTTAGCTCTGGTAGCTTCTCATAGCGGTCGCAATTGAGTGGATTGGGGCATAACATTGTCAATATTACCCTGTTTAGCTGAGTTGGGATCTCTTGTTGTATTGTTGTGATCAAATCGTAGGAGGCGACAGAAGATATTGAAAGGCGATTATTAATATTATTGCTTACCTATGGTAGGCCAAGTCAGATTGAGTAGAATGAAGTTGATTCTTCTAAGTTTTACTTGCAGACCTTCGGTTTGCAAGTAAAGCTTATACTTGCTAAACTAATGCTAGTTATGGCAGGCGTAGCCTGCCATAACCCCCTCCTTCGCGAAAATTCTTAAAAACGACCTCGTTTATGGTGTCGTCCTTCGTCTTCGTCCTCATCTTCTTCTTCCTCGCGATATTTTCTATTCGCGAGCGTTTTTGCTATGTCACTAGGTATATTTATTTGAGGCGGTGCCGCCTTTGCTGGTGAGGGCTTCGCTGGTGAGGGCTTGCCAGGCTTCTTTGTTTTCAGGTCTTCTATAAAAGACTTCTGTGTTTGGCAGAGTTCGTCAAGGCTTTTCGTTAGTTTGGTCAGTGTACCTGCCAACATTGTAATCTGTTATCTCGCCTCTCTCTCGTTTTCTCTTGCCGATTCTCGGTCTTTTAATAGTTCGGCCACCTGTTGCTCCAGCTTTTCCAATTTCGCTTTCATTTCGTCCTCCTCGGTTTTGCCTCGCCAAAAGTCGGTTCCGAAAATTCCGGCAGTTGCAGTGGGCCTAGTTGTCTCGCCGAATCTTGCGGCAGCTTGTCCCATCTAGGTAGGTATTGAATGTACGTGTTATAGTATTAGAACTGTGTAGACTCCAAGGTATGCGTCATAGTACACCTATGACTTCCTCGGAGGTGACCTTTATTGGAGTAGTTGTTTAATCATTCTAGAAGTCAAGGAGAATATAGCTGTGAATATGCGACAAGTGTTAGGGTTTTAAGATGTGGTAGATATTAAGAAAGGTCGTTAATTATTAGGAGGGCATCTCAAAAGGTAGAGTAGGAAACGAGAGAAAATAAGATGTTGAATTGTTGTAAGAAGTCAAAGTGGGATCAAACACGCGACTGTCAGTTTTAAGTGCCTCTATAGTAGTACCCGTTACACTTTCCACACGATGCGGCGTTGTTCCTTCCACCCATCTCTGAATGTACCCAGACAAACTCTACTTACCTCCCTATTACTACCTCTCAAACGAATAGAGCAGGTGTATCGCAACTTCATAGGAAACTATAAGCAGGTGCAAGTAAAACATGTTATTGGATACTTAGGTACCTAACCATATGTGCTTGCTTTAGATACATATGGTGTGGCAGTATCGAAACCTAAAAGGAGAAGTTGGTGATTATGTATAACTAGGATGAATAGTGTCAGGCATTGGCATGGGCATAGTCACTACAATATTCAAACTCTTCTTCACCCACCTAATATATATGACTAAACCTGATATTTAAGCTTACCTTATATGTAGGTAGTTAATAGGGAAAGACTATTGATAACAGTTTACTCTTTATTTTACTTATGTACAAGATGCTATAATCTATACAAGCCTGAGGTCGCTATAGGTAATTTGATAAGACTCGACTAGGGGTAGACTAGCGCTACTAATACGCCATAAAATGATGCACTACTTAGTAAACACTTGCCTAGGGACTTAATAAGAAGAAGACTGGTGGTGTTGTTGGTGATAAGCCAACGCCTTCTTCTCAATTGTATCAAGCTCAGCTTGGACGAAGTGTACCACGGGCTCAACTATTTGGTGCACCTAACCCTTATAAGGACTGGGCCCGATCATGAGCTCTGGCTTGACGAGGGTGTCAAACTCGTCTGATGTTAAGGCGTTAAGTTCCATTGCGCTATCCTTTAGATTTAGACCCTTCTTATGTGCGTTCTTGGCGACCTTGGAAGCCATATCGTAACCGATCTTAGGGTTGAGGCAGGTAACCAGCATAAGCCTAAAAGTAGCAACTATTAGCCAATATTTAACCAGGGGTTATTACTCAGAAATTAACTTACGATTCCTTCATGATGCTGGAAATCTTTTCCTCGTTGGCTTGGAGACCCTCGACAAGATTCTTCTCAAACGAACGCATGCCGTCGGCAAGGATTCTCACACTGTGTAGAAGGTTTCGGATAATAAGGGGCTTATAGACGTTGAGCTCGAACTGGCCGTTCATGCCACCGATGGTCGTGGCAACGTGGTTACCCATGACCTGAGCGCAAACCATAGTCAAGGCCTCACATTGAGTAGGGTTGACCTTGCCGGGCATGATACTGGAACCCGGCTCATTCTCTGGCAAGATTAGTTCACCTAGACCGCAACGGGGACCGCTGCCAAGATATCGGATGTCTTGAGCAATCTTGGTAAGAGACGCAGCTAAGGTGTTGAGAGAACCGGAGGCCTGGACAATAGCGTCGTGTGCAGCGAGTGCCTCGAACTTGTTCGGTGCTGTCTTGAACTCGGTTCCTGTCATCTTGCTGACTTCCTCGGCGATCGCCTCGGCAAAGCCCTCAAAAGTGTTGATTCCTGTACCAACAGCAGTTCCGCCCTGAGCAAGTAGTCTTAAATCCGGCAGAGAGCTCTCGACTCGCTTGATACCAAAGTCTAGCTGAGCAACGTATCCTGAGAACTCTTGCGCTAAAGTTAGAGGTGTGGCATCCTGAAGGTGGGTTCGTCCAATCTTGATGATGTTCTTGGCGTTGAAATCGTCAACCTTCTTCTGTAGCGCGTCTCGGAGGCTCTTTAGAGAAGGCAAGAGCTCGCCTTCGAGCTCGAGAACAGCGGCGATATGCATGACAGTGGGGAAAGTATCGTTCGAAGAAGCGGAACGGTTGACATGGTCGTTCGGGTGGACCGGCTTCTTGGAGCCCTTGGTACCTCCAAGGATCTCGATAGCTCGGTTCGAGATAACTTCGTTGGCGTTCATGTTGGACTGAGTACCCGAGCCGGTTTGCCAGACGACGAGGGGGAAGTGGTCAATGAGCTTGAGGTCAGCCACCTCGGCGGCAGCTTGTTGGATGGCCTTGCCGATTTTCTCATCTGTAATAATATAGTCGCATCGTGTAAGCCAATACCCCTCCATAGCATACATAGTTAGGGAACAATGCGCTCCGTGTAAGATTGTGGCATACCAAGTCCGTACCGCATGTTGACGGTGGCCGCAGCACCTTTCAAGATACCGAATGCCCTAACAACCGGAGGGGGCATTCGATCTTGAGGTTGGTTGATTCGGAAGTTAGAGAGGGATCGCTCAGTTTGAGCTCCCCAGTACTTGTCGGCGGGGACTTGGATTTCGCCAAAGGCATCGCTCTCGGTTCTCGTGTTATCAGCCATTCTTATCGATGTCGCATGTAGGTTTCTTTGAAATTGTAGGGAATGCGTAGCTTTACTAGAGATGTAACTGGTGCGGAGAGATCTCGAGGTGACATATGACGATGTGGAGGTAGCGTTGCATGTGCAAAGAAGCCGAGGAGCAATCCTCGGCCCAAGAAGGTTTCTAGCTTGGCCGCTGGCCGCAGCTCCTACCGATCGCAGCATGTTTTACAGCGCGCAGTAGCTTCCCCAAGATCAATTCAAAGACGGAAGCTGCCAATTGGTCATGATACGTCAGCTGACAGGTACTAGAAAGGATGATTGATCTTGTGAAAGGTCCGGTTAAACTTACAGACCCGTAGGTAGGGATAGTGTATGTTTTAGTAGGTAAGAATTGTAAAGGAAAGGAAGAAAGATAAAATTGCTACAAAAAAAACGCTCAATATTTTTTTTGAAGCTGCTTCAGATTACGATTCTACCGTCCGGAAGCCAGACAGACGCAAACTGCCCCGGTTTCTTATTTGCCGGCCCGTTGCGAAACAGGAAACAGTAAGCCAGTTCCATTCGACCTTTTTTTTTATTTACCCCTGCTATAAAAATGCGGTCCGGAAACACCCGATCGCGGTAAAAATGAGATGAAACCTCATCCACGAGTCTATTGAATTGTACTATGTACTCCCGTACCCCTTACGTAAAGGGATATGTATTATGTACATGTATTAATAAAGTGAAAACTCAACAAGAAAGATTAATACACAAGGTGATAAAAAGGGGGGATGACCATGTCAGAATCGAAAGGAAACAAAAACTAGCTAGTAAAGAAGCGCATTTCAGTACCTAACTTACAAACGACTGATGCGAATTATGGATTATGAAGCAGATTTCGTTCCAACCAGAGCCATGATTAAGTACAACCAGTACCGTAGCTTCGTGTAGCATAAGGAGGAGTCTGCCCATTGGCAATCTGTGCTCAACCGCCACCCCTCCCCATCTCATGTAGAAAGTAGAAAGTAGAAAAGAGAAAACAGAAAGAAAAAAAACATGATCGTAGTGCTTAGAGATTTTTCTGTGTTCCGACATGGTAAAACAAACAGTGCCGTATCCAGATCCCTTGCAGCTACGTATTCCAGGAATTTATTCCCAAAGCATCCAAGCTATTCATCAACAGATGCGAAGGATACAAAGGAGAAGATCCTCTGTTGTAACTCCGGTAAACCCTGAAACTCCTTGAAGTTGATGAATGTGCATATCCCTAATAGGGACAAAAAAGAAAACTAGCAAGGCGACGTCACGAGTTGAGTGTCTTGATCATCATCTTGATCTTGTACTTGTCGACGATGAGTAGACCTCGCGAGAGGAAGACGCTGCCCATCGCATCTATCACCCTATTAAACGTAGAAGCAGCCCCACGTTCTTGCGTGAATCGAACAATGCAGAGCTGATTACGCCTGCCATGTTCGATGACCGTCATGATCTCCGCTGCGAAGGAAGCTTCCTTCAATTCGAGATCTGTGAATGGGAAGCGGTTAGTTACCGCTCTTACATAGAAGAGGATGGGTATAGCGCTTACCATTCTTATTACCAACTCGTGCAAAGACAAGGTTACGTTCCTTGTCAACCACGACATCCCTCATGCCGTGACGACGCCATCCTTTCAGCAAATTGACAATTTCTTGTCTCACATGGCGACGGGGCATTGAGAAGCAAATGTATCTAGTTGCGGGTTTAACCCGGAACAAACGAGCCAGCCAGTTCTGCTGGGGCTCGATATTGCGGCCTCCGGATTTCTCCTGCGATTTCTTAGTCTGTAGCCGATGAGATGAGCGACTAGATGCTCGAGGAGGCTCGGAGTTAGAGGAATCATTGACCTCAGGACCTATACTTGCAATTAGTTTCGACGATGGCGTTGGTGGCTACGGATGAGCTTACCCGCAAGCGAGACCTTGAACTGGGATTGCTCTTTGTTACCACGCCAGAACGCGAAAGGGAAACTCCTCTTCTTCGCAGGCTGCGCGGCAGGGTTGGCCGATGAGTTAGTTTCCGTGTGGTTAAGGGCATCAATGTTCCCCCAACTGGAGCTATCTGATGATTCGGATTTTTCCTTAGAGCTGCGCTTAAACCACGACGATTTCTTCTTAATTGTGGTAGTAGAATCCGTCCTATCTCGCATGGTAGGCTTGGCGGGCTCGTCAGAGGGCTCGTTGGAACCGGGTACTTTTACCTCGTCCTCTGCATACTGCTGACGAAGGGTAAGTTCTTGTCGCACCTGCGGAATCTCTTTCACACCCTGGGATAACTCCTTGTGATAATCAGATGCGACCGGGACCATGATTTTGCGACGCCGATTAGATGGAGAATCGACTAGGCGGATTGTGTCCACAATTTGGGCCAGGTGTTCTAAGCCCGCACCCTCTTCAGCTGGTGCATGACGGGCTGGTGAAGACTCGGCAGGCGCGGAAACGACTCGTAGTCTATCTCCATCTTCAAACGAGTCATCTTCCTTTGCACCCTCGTTAATAGCCGGTAAGGGTATTTTATCTTTGCCCCATTGTGTGCTGTACTGCGAGTAGATAGGAGCCGATACGATTCTACGCTCTGTTCCTGCCTGCTCAAAGGGCCTACCGGACTGGCCAGGTCGATTGCGTTGCGAAACCATCTTGCCTCCTTGCCCCGTGGGTTCGGGTATACTGCCCCTAACCTGATCAGTTCTCTTCGCTGTTACATACCTATGCACGTCCAAATCTTTAGAAGATGTCGGCAATGGCCATGACTCCCGTGGCTGTGCGTTGACTCTCATTTCTCTTGCTCCTTGTGTGGCTGGAGCTGGAGTGCTGGTAGAAGTCAAGATAGTTTTTGTCTCGGAAAATGGAGACTCGCCTAGGTAAGACTCTTGACTTAGGAGGGTACTATTGAAAGCATCATCACAATCTTTTGCAATGGTATTGCTGAATTGGCGTAGCTCCTCATTCCAACATAGACCATCATCTTTAGCCTGGGCCATTTCGGAGATCTGTGTGCCTGATCGGGTTCCTTCGCGATTCTTAGATAACCTCTTCTTCTTATTGGAACCTGTCGGGGTTGAGGGAATTTGGCCATAGGTGGTGCTGTGTACCGTGACATTGGTGGGACTACATTCTGCTTCGCTTTGACTAGTTAATTGTCTATGCGCACGCGAGAAGTTAACTCCGCGTTTGCGACGTGAGGCGGACCGCTTATATGAAATCTCCTCGCCACTTTGTATTGAATTTAGAGAACGTCGTGAGCCACGTAGAGTAGGTGGCGCTTTCATGTGCTTTCCACCTGTTCCACGTCGCGAATACGTGGAGTTAGTCCTGGCTGACCTACTTCGTATGCTTGGGGCTTGTGAGTTTCGCGTAGACGTGGTGCCGTTGCGGTGGATTACGATCTTCGCTTGGCTGGCTACGACATCATCTAGAACGCGGGAAGATTTGTATGGATCGTAGCTTTGGATGGTGGCACCGCAATCCATAGAAGATCTCTCCAGAGGCTCACCATTCTTATCGGTGGCAATATTGGAGATAACGGTGAATCGCGACATAGATCGTCCATTCTTGGCCGGAAAATCCAAAGTAGTATACTTCTTCTTCCAATTAGGGGGCTGTAGATGGTGGTAGTCGCTCGCGGAGTATGTTAACTCTGTACCGTAGTTTTCCAATCTCTTCTCCCTATAGCTGTAGAGGAGCCAGTAGAACGTCTTGAACTCGTTGCGTCTGTATATCAAGTTAGCAGAGCGATGGTTGCTTAATATTAGTCAAACTTACTCGGGGCTTACTAGCTTTGATGCTAGTTGCTTTTCATCAAACGTATGCCACACGGACTTTAACTGTCTTAGAGTCTGCATATCAAGCTCGTCTGCCGGTACCGGATCGTATCGAGCGTCCCGTGTATAACCATGGGCACGTTCTCCATCATTGAGCTTATCCAAGTAATCATACCGACGAAGTAAAGGATGTTGCCAAATCTCTCGAATGGAGATACGCTCGTCGGGGTTTAACGTTAGCAGTCTGCCAATTAGGTCCCTAGCTTCGCGGCCGATGAAAGAGGGCATATGGTACTGGCCCCTTTTGATTTTTGCAAGCAGTAAATGAACATTGTCGTCCTCAAAGGGGAGAACATTGCACATGCAAGCATAAAGTATAACACCAAGACTCCAAATGTCTGTTTTGTCGCCCCGGTAGTAGCTACGGTTCATGAGTTCAGGAGCAGCATAATGCGGACTTCCACAGGCAGTCTTCAGTAAGTGGTTTGGGCCTTGATGCATAGCGGACATACCGAAGTCGGTAATCTTGATCCGGTAGTCCTTGGTGAGAAGTATGTTTTCCGGCTTTAGATCACGGTGGCATATGTTGAACGAGTGGACGTATTCCAAAGCATCAAGTATCTGACGGAAAAAGTACATTGTCTCGTCCTCGGCTAATGGGCCAGATCTAGCAAGGTAACTGTAGAGATCCCCCTGTTCTACGTATTCAAGGACAAGATAGCTGTGCCTAATATTAGTAATTGAACCTTAGTCATCGAAATTTTACATACATTTCTGATCGGTTCTCCCATATATCGTAGAGTTTCACGATATTCGGATGGTCGATCAGCTTCATAATAGCCACTTCTCTTTCAATAACGAATGGGATTCGATTCTCGGATTTGTACTCTGCGCGGGTGCGATCCCATCTGTCAAGGGCGGCTATACTGCCCGGCTGCATCATTGAATTGCCGTTTCTAGAGAGGATCTTTACGGCGGCGAGCTGGTTTGTAATATTGTGTTTTACCAACCGAACCCGGGCGGCCGAACCATTTCCCAAAGTCTTTCCCAGTTTCCATGGCCCGATATGAGTTTTACGGCGCTCACCACCAGAGGTTGTCACTGTGGTAGTCGAAGCTTGGGAGTTTCGCTTGTTGTCTGTGGTATTCTGTGGAATTACCGGAGCGCGAGAATTGACCTTAGTAGGCGCTCGCGGGTTGTCATGCTTTGAAGTAGCACTTGGGTCTGAGCTGGTATGTTGGCGCACTAAATTGGTGGGATGAGCTCTGAGAGGGTTAGGTTGAGGAACCTGAGCTTGAGTTGACTTGGTTGAATGCATCGAGGATGTATTGTTTATGCGAGCAGTCGCATCACCCAACGGGGCGCGGGAGGGCCGAGAAGCCGGTCCACGATAATCCGCCATATCGAAGAGATACTTAGACCATATCTATCCTAATTGGATTCAAGGCGGCCAATAGGAAGGATAATACGCATTAAACAATAGTAAGTTATAGCGTGTAGCTCGGCTTGGGGCACAACAAACTGCGGGAAAGGAAAGGATTTGATAATGTAGTAATGCGCATGAAGATGAAAAATGAGAGAGTGATGAGATAGAAGGATGAGAGTGCGCAGTAATAGGCACGCACGACTTCGCACCAGGCGAACCAAAAACAACAAGCCTGTCAATTTCTGCCAAATAGATGCAAGTATCAAGTTTAAAGTCTCAAGTCTCGGAAGGTGGTAAAGGACTTTGTGTTGTGCAGTAGCGCTTGGAAAAACGAAGTTGAATATGGGTTTGGTAAAAGAAAGTGAGCCGTGGTTCAGTTGGCAGAATAATTCTGCTCAAGCTGAGAAGTGGTGCGCGCAGTATGGGGAGAATGTAGGAAGTAGGTAGGTTAAGTTGAGGAATGCGATTTGATATTTTTACAGAAAACAAGACCAGAGTCCTACCTCTAAGACACTGTAAGCTAACTACCTTTTACTGTAGTGATGCGTAAAAATTCCGGGGCAACATTCCTTAAAGCTGTCAAAAGCGTTGCCTCAGTGTTTTTTCGGGTTTACAGCTGCTAAATTCCTGATACAGACAACCTTAGGTAATGTACTTGCATATATCGCAGGTACATACAATATCTCCCCACCTGCCACCTTCTACACCAACGCTGCATATTCTCAGCGGAGTCCACATGGTGTAATGCATATTTTATTAAGCATCACCTAGCAACTAGAATTAGACTAAACTCAACATGGGTAAGGTGGAAGAAGGAAAGGCAAGTACATGTATCAAATGCTATCGGTTTCATCTAGCACTCACAGAAACAGCAAGAGCGCGTATGCATCAGGATAACAACGACCACAGCAACCGCCGATTATAGGGTTCTAGGTTAGCAAGATACAGTACCTAACCTATAAAAAAGAAATATTCAGGGGACTTTGAAAAAAAGCTCTATTGTATGCCTACGTCTTGGGATAAGAATATATATGATATATGTAGATTTAAAAGGTCTAAGTTAAGACTGAAAGCTGAAGACAAGAAGTGTCGTTGGATATTACAGGGATCAGCTTAGTGGATAAACTCGAGCCTCAGGAACCCCAGTCGGAAAAAAAGGTACCTAAGTATACTGCCTAATTAGGTAATTTCTTATTTAAGTTTAAAGTGCCCTCCATTGTCCCCCCACTAGTAGCAGAACGCGTCCGCTTTTACGTAGTACAGCAAACCGCGTCTTTAGTAAATGGGATTTTATCACATATTCACATCAGCTACTATTAATTCAATGAAGTCGATCTTCCACCAGAATTTAGATACCGAGTTTCCACTTCAAGAATCCCTCTCTGAAATGACCTCTTAATCCAATCACCTCGACATCCGCTCGAAACCACTCCCGGTTTTCTGACTATCTACCTATTCCCAATCATGCCATCTCTACAGCCCCGCCGTCGGTCGAGAGCCCGATTTGAAGAAGAAAACGACGAGCAGTCTTCAGTATCAGACTCACCAAAACGGCAGAAGCGTGATACGAACGGTGCTTTATCAGATGAAGAAGGTGAAGATGGAGACGATCAAAACGATCAGGGGGTTTTGCGACAGAGACGGATTAAAAGCTCAAGCTCGCCGTCGGGAGCCCGTCATGATAATAGCACAGGAGAGTTCCAGACTGGTGCTATAGTCAGGGTTTTGGTCGAAGATTTTGTCACCTACGAACATGCCGAGTTTAATCCCGGCCCGAATCTCAACATGGTCATTGGCCCAAACGGTACCGGCAAGAGTTCCTTGGTCTGTGCCATATGCCTTGGCTTAGGTTACCACCCAAAACATCTCGGCCGGGCGAGCAACGTGGGAGAGTTTGTAAAACATGGGAAAGAGAGTGCTATAGTCGAGATCGAATTACAAGGCCGACCAGGCGAGCTATCCAACCACGTAATCCGCCTGCAGATTCGTAAAGAAGATAACAAGACGAAGTGGTGGATCAATGGGAAAGAGAGTACGCATACTGCTGTAAAAACTCTTACTAGTGGTTTGCGCATTCAAATCGACAACCTATGCCAATTTCTGCCCCAGGATAGGGTCGCCGAGTTTGCCGGTCTTACTCCTATACAACTTCTCCACGAGACTCTACGAGCTGCTGCACCTGAACAAATGATCATTTGGCACAACCAACTGAAAGAGCTACACAAGAAGCATAAAGAGGTCAAAAGTAGACTTGACGCGTGCGCCGAGACATTGAAAGGCCACGAGACACGCCAACAGGGATCGCAGGCTGACGTAGATAGACTTCGTGAAAGAGAAGCGATCCAGAAGAGGATTCAAGACCTCCATAACGCCCGGGCAATTGCTGAATACAATAATCTCCGTCGTATAGTAAACGAGGCGAAAAAGAAAAGCAAAGATGCGCTCAAGAGGCTACAGGAGCTAGAACAAGCGTGTGGGCCTGCCTTACAGGCTGTCAATCGAAAGGAGGAATATCGGCAACAGATTGAAGCCGTAGTTGGGGAGCGAAAGATTGCGTTGAAGAATGCCGAAGCTGCATGCGATCGACTTTTGCAGAACATTGAAGCCCAAGAAGAACAGATAAAGCATATCCAAAATAAGAAGGTTGCAGAGGAGGGGTCTCATAACTCTAAGCGAAACGATCTTGCGAAGATACGTAGGACAATTACGGATCTTGAGGCCAAATTGCAGAACAAGCCCCCGGAGTTTGTTGCTTCTGATTGGAATCAGAAAATTGTAAGTGGCAATATTTATCCCCTATAGTTACCTATTGCTGATTTATATACCTAGCGGCAACAAGAGCATATACTGCGCGACAATGAAGCAGAGAAACGTACATTGCACAATCAACTTAACGAGCTGAAGGATCAAAATGATAGAAAGAAGCACGAGAAGGGACAGCACGAAAAGAACTTGGATGATTTAAACTCTCAAGACGGTCAAAAGCTTGTTCATTTGAAAAAGGTCCACTTAGATGCTGCGAAGGGCTGGGAGTGGCTCCGAGAGAATCAGAATGAGTTCGAGAAGGAGGTCTTTGGTCCGCCAATGCTCAACTGCTCCCTCACAAACCCGCAGTACTCGGATCAAATCCAGTCGCTCCTCGCTAGGGAAGACTTCTTTTGCTTCACCTGTCAAACTCGCGACGATCACAAAAAGCTGAGCGCACAGTTCTTTAATAAGCTAGGCATTTCGGTGACAATCAGGACTTGTGGTAGCGAGTTCTCATCATTTCGACCGGTCATCCCTACGGAACAAATTCGCGAGATGGGTCTTGACGCATACGCCATTGAGTATCTAGAAGGTCCGGAGCCGGTTCTCGCGATGCTCTGCTCCGAGAAGAGACTACACACATCCGGAGTTGCCCTTCGAGATATCAGTAATGATCAATATGAATTGATAGCAAGCCGCGAGGGAATACCTAGCTGGGCCTCTGGCCCCTTGATATATCGTATTACGAGGCGTAGAGAATATGGTAATGCAGTCTCAACCTCTACGAGGAAAATTCAACCGGGCCAGTTCTGGACAAACCAGCCTGTTGACCAGGCTGAAAGGAATGCACTGCAAAGACATATCGACGAAGTAAATGAAGAGCTGCAGGATATAAGAAGACAAGGGCAAGAAACTAAGAGACGTATCGTAGAACTAGAGGAGGCTGAGAAACAAATCCGTCCACAAATAGTAAGTAACCTATCTCTATTAAGCCATATATATAACTCGCGATTCTAACAACTTTAAAGGATGCATTTAGGAGAGAGAAGAACGAGTTGCAAAAAGCTGCCACGCTATATGCAACTCTCGGAGATAAAATCGGTAAGTAGATACTACCTAGGGAATAGCAGCACTGACTAACAAAATCTATAGCAACCGAGAAGAAAGCCCTAGAAAGCACACAGAAAGACCTTGCAGACTGTCGGAAGCGAATATTCGAATACAGCGCTCAAGAAGACCAGCTCGTCATCGAGAAGGCTAGGTCCGTCCTGAAACATAAAGAACAGCTTCCTCAGATCCGCGATATCCACCAAGCATTGTTAGAGGTTCAGATCCGCCTCATTGAAGCCCAGTCAGATGTCAAAGGCCTGGAAGAGCAAAACTCTACTATCAAGCAACAGCTTGACGAGAAGAAAGACGAGATCGCCAATGCCAAAGCTGAGATGGAGAGGTTAAAAAAAGCAGCAATTGATGCTAGGGAGAAAGTAGAAGCAGCCGTTGATGACGGTGGCGATGACCGACTAGCTTACCTGAACGGCTTAGCGGAGGGTAAAACCGCCGAGGAAGTTGACCACGAGATCGGCGCCGAGTCTACTAAACTTGAGCTGATTCATGGTGTCGACCCCGCGATCTTACGACAGTACGAGAAGCGCGCGCAGGATATCCAGGAGCTGACGCGCAAGAAGGAGGAGCTGAACGTGAAGCTTGAAACGTACCTCAGAAAGATCAAGCAGGTGATGGAGCAGTGGGAACCCGGCGTTGACGACGTTGTCGGCAAGATCAATGACGCTTTTAGCTACAACTTCGAGCAGATCAACTGCGCGGGCGAGGTCGGCATCCATAAGGATGAAGACTTTGAACAGTGGTCTATCGAGATCAAAGTCAAATTCCGGTAAGTTTACTTCATCTCCCAAGAAAATAACTGGAAGTCATACTAACATCCCATCCCTCCAGCGAAAACGAAACCCTCCAACAACTAAACCAACACCGGCAATCAGGCGGCGAGCGCGCCGTCTCTACGATCTTTTATCTTATGGCGCTACAGAGCATGGCGCAGGCACCCTTCCGCGTCGTCGACGAGATCAACCAGGGTATGGACCCGCGCAACGAGCGCATGGTACACGAGCGCATGGTCGAGATTGCGTGTCGCGAACACACGAGCCAGTACTTCCTTATCACGCCGAAACTGCTTACCGGCCTACGATACGACGAGCGCATGCGTGTGCTGTGTATTGCGTCCGGCGAGCATATGCCGCCGGCGGAAGATGCGAAGAAGCTTGATTTCAGCAATTTGGTGAAGATTCAACGGGGGCTTGTCGCTTCGGCCGCGTAGATGGTGGGGGTATAAAGGTCCTGATTCATTCTTACGGTTGTAGTTGACGTAATACTCTAGGTGTATTAGTGTGTTCACGAGGGAATAAATGAAAACGTATCAATGCCATTCTAGGAGTTTTTAGGAACGGCGAGGAGCTAGACTTAAACTCTATTAAAGGAGTAATGAGTAGGTAAAAGGAAGGATGGCAAGGAATAAATGGATTTAGAGAAATGATTGTTACTGTACTCCGGAGGGAAGGGCTAAATACCTCGATACCATTGCATTGTTTACTTACTACACTAATCTCTTACATTACCAACAGTCCGAACTTGTTATCATACCTGGGATATCCTATGTTCTCAATAGAGGAAGTAATAAAATATAAGCGAATCACTACGTCTTGAAGACCATTGTGAAAGAGGATTTAAATTATATGTGATTAATATTATATAAGGTAGGGTACATTAGGTACTAGGGGTATCTAAGTATGTAGATACTATCACTTGCTCGCTCTATACAAGCCCCCCCCCCCCCCCCCCTCTTTCACATCTTCATTTCTCATCTTCCCTCCTCATAATCATATCTGCCCCCACTACATATTCCTCAGAATATCCAACACACCCCTCACCTTACCCCCAAGCGTAAGCGCATACCCAACACCCACAACGCCCTTTGCAAATCTCCATCCGCGCTCCTGGCTCCCGACGGGATACTGCACAGGTGGCGGGATGGAAGTCCTAATTCCTAAAAATGCGAACCGGTCCTCGCACACGCTCTTTAGATTACAAAGACCTCGTAATCCCTCTTCGGCCGCGAAGCGTCCATATCCCGAACCGCCGACGCCGCCGAATGGTAACTGCACAGCGTAGAATACCGCGAAGTCGTTGACGGCGACACCTCCTGCACGCACGCCATGGACGACTTCTCGTAGAATAGGATCCGAGTCTCGCCCGTAGACTGAGGCGCCAAGGCCGAAATCGGGGGCGTTGGCCAGACGTAAGAGTTCCGTGGCGCTGGGCGAGGGGGACCGAAGGATCGTCATGATCGGCCCGAAACACTCTTCGTTCGCGATCGCCATGTCGGGCGTTACGTCGACGAGGAGCGTCGGTTGGAAGTAAAAACCCTTAGGGTGGTCGGGATGTATGTATCGGGTACCGCCAGCGAGGAGTCGCGCACCATTGGCAACAGCATCCATAACTAAATTCTCGAGTCGTGTGAACGAGGCGTCTGATACCATGGCACCAACATCTTTATCCAGTCCAAGGCGTAGAGCTTTGACGCGGGGTTCTAGCATAGCCACAAGTTTGTCGTAGACACCAGGCGCGGCGACAATTCTCTCGATACCGATGCAGTTTTGACCTGAAGCTTGGAAAGTTCCACGTAGTAGAGTCTCCACGATTCGCTTGAGGTCGGAATTTGCCGAGTCGAGAATAATGGCAGCATCTTTACCACCAAGCTCTGCGACTAAGGGGATGAGGCTCTTGGCTGCGCTGGAGGCAACATGGTGGCATACGGATCGGCTGCCGATGAAAGTAAGATGGCTGATGCCAGGATGACTTGTTAAATGTCCAGCAGTTTGAGGCCAGCAGACGACGGTCTGTATTAGCTGGGGATCATGTCCGTGTGCTACTAATGCGCCCCTTGCAATGCTAGTGTAATATGCGGCGCTCCAGCACGTCTGCTCGCTTACTTTCACAACAATGCCGTTTCCGGCAAAGATGGCACTGATTATAGGACCTATCATATTATGAAAGGGGTAATTCCAGCTGACCAGAGCCGCCACGACACCCAAGGGCTCGTATTTAACTGTATTTTTCTTATACGCCATGAGTAGATTTGTCGGACGTCGGCTCGGACGCAGAGCCTTCTCGCCGTGCTTGATTGTCCATTCTAGCTTCTCAGCTGTAACCATGATCTCGCCTAGCTGAGCGTCTAGCATGGTCTTTCCCGAATCTAGAGAGCTTATTTGGCATATCTGCTCCTGATTATCAAGTACATGCTGCAACATGGTACGCAATACCTTCCTCCGCTCACTAAACGTGGTCTTGGCCCATTGCTTCTGTGCCGCTGCTGACTGGGCAATGGCACGATCGATACCGTCGGGCGTAGAGGGGTTAACAAAGCCGAGGAGTTGGCCTGTGGCTGGGGCGTAACATTGGATGGCCGTTGTACCCGAGACCTTGATGGTAGGGTTATCAAGGATCTTGACCTCGTCGAGTTTCTTGGGAGCCGGGATGGTGTATCGCTTCGGTTTATCCCAGTAGTCGGTATGGGTGTTGTAGAGGATTAGACCACCAACGACGGCAAATATAATAGGGAACGTAGCGAAGGCGAAGTCTTTGATCCTGTATGTGAATCGTTATGAGATAGCCGCTAGGAAGGGGTATCATTCAAGGCCTAGAGACGTACGGGAACCCTCGTATGAGGATGCTGAATTCATCGATCCATTGAACGAGGTCTTTGGCCGCCATTCTTATATATATCCTGCCCTACTACTTTCTAGTTGAGTGGATATATCATCATATAGTTAATTCACAACCCAACCGAGGAATCTTTGACATGATCTCCTCAAGGGAGGTTGTTCAATTACAGAATATAATCGTACCACCAACTTGACGAACTGAAGCTCCATTTTATTATGTGTTATCGATAGCCCCTGGTTCCTGCATTCTATCGTCAATTCGACAGGGGTAAGAGCTTCAAGTCAACTATAAATCAGGTACGTACCTATCTTCAGAGATACATACCGTAGCGGCATTGTATGGGTTTCAGGAAGGATTCCGTACGTAAATTATCATATTACCCATAATAATGGTTAAAATGGGTAATACCATATCTTATAAAATTATGATATTTTTGTAAAAAATCATTCCTTTCCCAGGAATGATTCCTTGGAACTGAAGGCTCTGATTGGTTGGAATAAGTGGGATTAGGGTCATGTGACCCCCAAAAACCTTAAAAATCAAAAAAGCTAGGAGGCCTGGGACTCGAACCCCAGGCTCCTAGCCAGCCCCACCATAACACACCCCACCAATGCGGGAGTGTTTTGATTGAGCTAGCAGCTCTAGTGGGTGGCCAGTCCTCTAGTGCTGTTGAAAGGTTACCCGTTTTTGAACCTTATTACCCACACTTTCATTTTTTTAATATTGTAATAATATTTTATCCAATCAAGATTCTCATTCCCGTACAAAAAAGGATATCCCGTACAAAAATCATTCCACCCCAAAAATATGATATCTCAAAACCACATTTTGCCGGTATGGTATGTATAGATCTTATCGATATGATAAGTGCCTTATGTCACATGATAACTGTATAACCCCACGTTTAGTGAGGTAACTCTTATTGAGTCATCCCTCCTCAATCGCTCTTTTTTTTTTCGGGCTATACGACGCGGGGCACACCAAGCAATGCTGCGTGCGCTCTATAGAGGGAATAGGCTAATAATTTCTACTTCTCTCAGAGTACCATCATTTACCACTAGAACCTTCTTTACCCCTTCAAGTCTCTTGTGTCAATCGTCTATCCACCAACATCTCTCCTCTGCCGAAACTGGCGATATGGCTTCCAAAGAGGCCAAGATATCCTTGAAGGCGCCCAAGGGTACACGCGACTGGTCGGGCGCAGACCTTCTCCTGCGAGATCATGTCTTGTACGTTTCGCTCGCCACTATTTACGCCACCCGTTTGTTAATCTAGTATCCAGTGAGACCATTAGCAACATATTCAAACTCCACGGCGGTACTCCCCTCGACACCCCCGTATTCGAATTAAAGGAAATTCTAGCTGGCAAATATGGCGAGGAGGCCCGTCTGATATATAACCTCGAAGATCAGGGCGGCGAGCTATGCGCCCTACGTTACGATCTTACAGTACCTTTTGCCCGTTGGTTAGCCATGAACAATGTTCAGCAGATCAAGCGTTACCAGATCGCCAAGGTCTACCGTCGCGACCAGCCGGCCATCGCCCGAGGCAGGATGCGCGAGTTCTACCAATGCGACTTCGACATCGCTGGAGCCTACGACCCCATAATCCCCGACGCCGAGATCCTACGTGTTATCGTCGAAACCTTCAATGCTCTCGGGCTTGACATTACCATCAAGACCAACCACAGACGAATTTTAGACGGCATATTTTCCGTCGCAGGTGTTCCTGCAGACAAGATACGTCCAATTAGCTCGGCGGTAGATAAGTTGGACAAGGAACCGTGGGACGTCGTTAAGAAGGAGATGGTTGAGCAAAAGGGTCTCCCTGAGGAGGTTGCCGACAAAATTGGAGTGTTCGTACTGAACCGCGGCACAATTGACGAGATGATAGAGTTTATTAAGGCCGACTCGAATCTTTCGGCTAACGAGGAGATAAAAGCTGGACTTTCCGATATGGATCTCTTATCTTCTTATTCTAAAGCACTAGGCACCTTCGATAATGTCTCGTTCGATCTATCGCTTGCGCGAGGTCTGGATTACTACACAGGACTGATCTTCGAGGTTATTCAAAAACCCGCCGACACAAAAGATAAGGACGGCACACGGTATCCGGGGAAGTCGTCTAAAAATGCAGATGCTTCCGCCGTCGGTAGCATTGCTGCAGGTGGTCGATACGACAACCTTGTTGGCATGTACGGCAAGAAGCAGATCCCCTGCGTTGGAATCTCATTTGGTGTTGACCGAATCTTCACTATCCTCAAAGCGCGCGGCGAGAATGAAGGCCGCTCGCGCCAGGTCGATGTATACGTCATGGCCTTCGGTGGCAAGGAGTTCAACGGCCTACTACTAGAGCGTATGTCGATCGCGCGACAGTTATGGGAAGCCGGCATTCGCGCTGAATTCAGCGCCAAGGTCAAGCCCCGTCTACCGCAACAGTTCAAGGCCGCCGAGGAGGTGCCGCTTGGCATTATCCTAGGTCAGGACGAGCTTGCGGAGGGCAAGGTTCGGTTAAAGGTTTTAGGAACTGGGAAAGGTGGTAAGGAAGGCGAAAAGGATGAAAAAGACCAGGGACAGCTTGTCTCGAGAGAGAATTTGGTCGAGGAGGTGAAGAAGTTGTTACAAACTCAGACTCAGACTCTTCCGATACGGTAGATACCCTAACCTAGAAAAATACGCTCCCCTAGCGCTAGGATTTAGAACAAGAAAAAAATATGTTTAGAAACTGGTTGGATTTATGTGAATGCTTGTGACATGAATGTGTTGGATTTGATTTAGTTAGGGTTAGAACTTCTTTTCATGTTGATCTTGCATTATAGTCAAAGGATAATTGCTTTAATAAGTAAATTAGACGGCTTTGGATTTGAGAAAGTTCACCAGTTTAAGTAGCCTTCACCTCAATCCATCGTTGAGTTAGTGTCTACGGGTAGCCGGGGTTAATAGGGGTAAAACTATATCCGCTATTAGAAGCTCCGAATTATAAACTTATTATATTATTAACGCTTACTGATGAGTCCATTTGAAATAATACACTAAACACCTCAACCATATATACCATCTACTACTCCTCACTATGTGCCTAATATGTCGCTTTACTCCTGTCCCTAGGGCCAATGTACTGTATTTCCGACCAAACGGGCAAAATGTCCAAAACGCCTCGTAAAGGTACCACTTATATACATTATAGTATTACATTCCAATAAGCCTTTCTCGCCATCATAATCATTATCTGTTTACTTTAGTCAGCGAGGCTGGTCTCGGGTTTGGTTATGGTAAAATGATATAGAGGCCACTTACATAATTCGTAACGTGAATAGAGTCTATCGTTATAGTAAATTAACAAGCTGAATAAATGGAAGCGAGATCTAGTACATGAGATTTGGAAATTTGTATAGGCCGTCTTATTCTCTAATTTTGGAAGCCCGATTGTTTTGTATAGACGATGTTTCAAAGGGGCATATCAGGATAGTCGTGGAGTTTTGATGCGTTCAACTCTTTTGTCGATATATTGAACAGAGTTTTCTAAGAAATGCTCTATGAGAGCGCCCTTTTCACGGTGGGGGCGAGGCTTTCGGTTGCGGTGCTGGGTCTGACTCGGTCGGTCGAATGGTAGGGGGGTTTAGAACAGGTATATCGTCCACAGCAGAGCTGGTATCATCGTCATGCGATATAACAATTGCAGGAGAACCCTGGTTATTAGTTATAGTAGTAGTAGACGCAACTGGCGAAGAGGTTTGCATGGCTCGCGAAGAATTAGGGTGGACGGCCGGGACCTCTAGTGTGTCCCGTCGTTGTCTTGGTCTACCTCTGGTTTGTCCGGTAGAAGACGATGCTTCTTGATACTGTACATCAAATGAACTCTGGCCAGCTGGTAAGGTATTCGAGTGTTGAACTCCACGTGTCGAAGGTGACGGCGACGACGAACGCGATACAGGCGACGGTGGATGTGGAGCTGATATTGCTCGTATCCTCGCCGGACTACCTTCAATACTATATCTAGAAGCAATACTACCGGCGAAGCTGCCTGCTCTTGGCCTTATGCTAGCACTCTCGTCTTCGTTGCGATGATGATTATAGGCCTCCCTAACCCGAGCTAGGTCCGGGTTCCGCTTATCTTCCGCCGGGATCTCAGGGAAGTCTATCGCTTTCCCATGTTTGAACTCGGAATCGTCGAATCGATCCTGTGATGCCGTTCCCAGATAATTACTAACGACTAGTAGCGAATTGTACACTTTACGTCTGTTGCCTATGTCGTTTACAGATGGCCGACTTTCTGTGGGTACAAGTTCGGTTGAAGTTTCTCCCCCGCTGTTTGAAGAGCTAGGTCGAACATGGGGTGTGCTTGGGGCGGTGATGGAGTGAGGGGAGCTAATGAAAAGACCACCGTTACTTTCTTGCATAGATGGAGAGCCCCCCGAGCCATGCTCCGGATGGGCAATGTCATCGCAGTGTACGATTTCAATATCCCCGCTCCGTAGAGAGGAGCTGGCCCTGGGTCTAGTAGGAGATTGTCCACCATCGAAGTGGTGGTGCGAGCAATTACAGTGATGAATGGGATCTATCGGGTTCGCGTCCTTCTTCGTAGCTTCTATATCTACCGCTAGGAGCATGTAAAGAGATCCTAACGCAGCAAGTCCGGTACCGACAAGGGGTGCCCACTATTAAGAATGCCGTAATTAGTAAAATGTCTTGAATAAAATTGACAAATCTAGGTCAAGCTGGAGAGTGGGAAGAAGAGATGAATAAGTTGAGAGAACTACTCCAATTTGGGATGAATATAGTTACTAACTTGTCCTGTGAACGTGACCATTATCAGCATTTCGAACCAGTTATGAATGTTGATTAGTACGTACCTATGCTACCCATCGGTTCAGTCTGGTATGAGACTTCGGGACTAAAGAAGTTCAATTCGCCGAATATGATGATGGCAATTACTGCAGCGCTGAATAGAGGAACCTCTAGGGTGCTTAAGAAAAGCCTGACGACGTGGTTAACTTTACTCATCGTCTCGACGGTAGCGCCATTCGTCCTATTAGTAGCGCTTGTTGTTAGTAACGGATGTTCCCAAAGGGGGGGAAAATATTTATGGGCAATCTAGGTTGACAATAATTATCTATGTCATAGGGGCTGTATACTACCCATAGGCAAAATAAGGGGAATAGGTTATTAAGATCTTCTTCTTACCCTTCAATCAGCTGGTCCCCCTTTGCCGGACCGAACCTTGACTTCCAGTTAATCTCAAGGATTTTATTCCACATTGACACGAGCGAGAGGACAGCAGGGATACAGCAAGCTGCTGCGAGAAGCGTAACCGCGTTGAACGCAAGTCTGCTCGGTGCCGGTATGACGTATATTTCATTGGTAGCCCCTTGCCGTAGGGGAGACCAAGGCCCCTTCTCGATGGAGCAGGTGAGGTTACAAAAGGCATTCTCGTAGGGGAAATCCTTATGGTCATGAATAGGAATAGGGTGGCCTGACTCGTCGTGCGTGCAAGGTGATGTTGTGATCCGGAAGAACTCGACTGTTAAACTAAGCAGACCTTCTTTCGTAAGCGTATATCCCAAAACCCGTCATAGAAGTACGTGAAAACTTACCAGAGAGAACAATGCCAGTCCAAAGAAAGATTATGTTCCGGCCAGGGTTTTCGAAATAGGTTCGAGATATCCTGACTGACAATGGAGCTGCTAGTATTCCAATCGAGCAAAACTGAAAGGCCCCATAGATGTCCATATCAACAGCAGCTGAGGTAGAGTGTTGTTAGCCGATTGCTGTAAAGCTTTGGCTTGGTGTGCTAAATGCTTACTATCTACGTGTACTGCGGCGAGAACAATACCATGAAGAGCTGCAACAGCAGGGAAAATTACTGTAACTCGTTGTATTAGTTACTATTACTTGTATGCGTTAAGTTGTATAAGTGCCTCGCGTTATTATAATAGACAAACGACAGGAATAAGGGGTAAAGAGTACTTACAAGCAGCTGCTAGACAAGCGTTCCTAAGCCATTCTGCTTTTCGAGCAAAGACACAAGCTGCTACAAGGACATAGTACCTATAAGGATATTAATGATTAGTTTAGTATAATAGTCGAATGGTAATATTATAGAGAGCTGTATTAGGCATAAATGGGTAGGGTAACTTACAAAACCCTCGATCCCGGACCATACTGCCCTGACACCGGCCAGGCGCAAATGACCTGGACAATTTCATCTGTGTTGGTAGCATTGGTAGCATTTGAAGTCAGGGCAATAGCAGATTCTAGCGTTACGTTTCGACTGGTAATGGCATTCAGTAGTAAGGTCGAAGGAAGCGCTGGCATGACCTAGGAAAGACGACTCCAAAAGGAGTAAATAGACGCGGTAATCACATTCGTAGGGGGGGGTTGGTTACGGGGGAATTGCAAATGAGAAATGTCCCATCTCGAATATTTAACTGCGTTATTTTGTAGATATTCTGGCTGTAAGCTAGGACAAGTGAAAATAAAGCATGAAAGCGGCAGAGGTATGTAAGTCTTCAAATGCATCGATCGCCTCGTAGTTTCAAAACGTAGGGCTAACGAAACGACGCGTAAAATGATCATAATCTAATATTATCAAGCAAGATTCCGTCAGCTGAATTGCAATATATCGCCCGCACTCAACGCCAACAAGCACCGCCCCGGATCGGTTCTGGGCACCGAGGGCGATTTCGTTCAGCCTCAATCCCATTTAATTTCGATTATCATGTATGAATACGAGTAAGTACATAATAAGTTGGCGATTATTTGGTAGTTTTTGGTGGTCACTGTTTGTACTGTACTAGGATTCTTTAAGGCTTAGGGCCGCTTAGAAGGTAAGACACCTGACTACAGAATGACGCACTTCCTATACCGAACCACAGAATAGGGATGATAAAGCGGGTCTAACCCCGGAATCCACCATGTTACTGGATCTTCTCCGCATCCTTCCTTTCCTGGATGTCGCTAATCGCGTTACACCAATCACTTCATTTCCCGCTTCCGATTGGAGTTTGTGACTAGTCGAATCTACCTAGGTTCAATTGAGAGATAGGGTACATTGCATAATCCTGATTTTATACACTACAATTGCATAGCGTGATTAATTATTATCGTTATTCAAACACAGCCACAATGAAAACAAAACCTGACAAGCTCTTCACTGGAGTACCTAGCTAGACCGAGCGGCTGAGAGTCAGCATCATTCATAGTTTCTAATATTCAACCATTGCCATAGCCTTTTTTTTCTCTAACCTTTCGTCTTAATAATTCTTCGTAGATACTATTTGTTTTGAAGAGGAGAGTCATGCGTATATGTAATAGTATTTAAATCTGTGGAGGTATGTGTATGGATTTATTTTCAGGCACCGAGTGTCTTGGCCATTCTCAGCCTCCATCTGGTATTCTACCGTCTAACCCCACCGCTCGAAGATATCTAATTCAGACCTCTTCAATCACATCAGTCCCAAGTCCTCACCGTCACAGAATGTACGCGTTAGTGAGGTTTGCGTCCTGAAAAAAGATTATATATATCTGTTGGGCTATGTCTAGTGGGACCACTCCTTTTCTCGTTAAGAATCTTCCTTGTTAATATCTCAATATATCTTTGGGATTTAATATTGCGGGAACACGAAAATTTTGCCGAGACAGCTCAATTGGCCTTGCCAAGGAACTGTCAAAATGGCTGAGGATCTCGGTGATATCGATATCAATCTTGATACGAATATAATTCGGGAGTGGAGATCAATCGTCACCCTCGTTGTTTTCGTCATCACTAGTAAGTATAAAATCTATCCAAGTATACGACATCTTCAACCGATCTACTTACACTACCATGCAGATATTATTGTGCTTTTCCCCTTTCATATCCCATTGTACATCCCTCGGGCAATTTCCAATGCCATACTAAATGGTCTGGTTGCTTTGCGAGTGATAGGCCCACGGCAACAAGGCTCTCAGTATGAGGCTGACCTTAATAATGATCACAACGAGGAGCAGCATGGCATAGCTAGGCATTTTGTACGACTAAGGTTCCCTATGAACTTTGTGACGGCGCCTCTGATAGCAGATCTCTTTCTGCTAGCTATTCTAGCAATTGGTCGAGAGGAGGTGTACGGTGGTACGATTGGTGCTAATCACATCTCGCCCATCGACATCATGGCCTTTTTCATAACGCTGGCGTACATCGCTATCTCTATCGACGCTTCTGGTCTTATTAGATACCTTGCATTTAAGGTGCTCCAAAAAGGAGGGAAGTTTGGTCACAGGCTCTTTTTTTACCTGTACGCCTTCTTCTTTAGCCTGGGCACCTTTATCGGTAACGACCCTATCATCCTATCTGGCACGGCCTTTCTTGCGTACATGACCAGGGTCTCGAGTAACATCATACATCCTAGAGCGTGGATTTTCGCCCAATTTGCGGTAGCGAATATTGCATCGGCGATTTTAGTGTCGTCTAATCCTACCAACCTTGTTCTCGCAGGCGCTTTCAATATTAGGTTCATCGATTATACTGCCAACATGATCGTCCCTGTCGTTATCACAGCGATTGTACTTTTCCCCTTCCTCCTTTACATCGTGTTCGCGGATGAGACCCTTATCCCCCTCTCAATCCAGATGCATGAGCTCTCGGAGGAGGCAAAAGCTAGGAAACCCGTCAATCCAAACATTCCTCATGCCAGGGGAAACGCCGAGGAACAGGAGGATGACCCGACAAATAGCGAGCAAAGCAAATTGTTGTCTTTGGAAGAGATCATGAACCCTTTCTTGGATAAAGGCGGTGCAGGTTTCGGAGCCCTCATCATGGCTGCAACACTTATCACAATCCTTGCGATAAATGCTGCGAGTCAGAGCACCGGTGAACACCCAGTCTTTTACGTGACTTTACCAGCCGCATTCGTTATGTTCTGTTGGGATATTGCATTTGGATGGATTCATCGCGAAGAGACGCGAAAGATCGCCCGTGATGGCCGACGTGATATCGAACGAGCTCGGGCTGAGCGACTTGCTAGGGAGCTTGAGGAACTGGAGGGGATTACTTCAAGTCAAAACCAAGAACAAGAGCAAAAAAATGGTGCCAATACTCAACCTAGCACGTCACACAGCCGTTCGCTAGATACCAAATCGCAGAATCAGAATGACACTACCAGTGGTATTAGATCCCGCGCAAGCCTAGCCGGTTCAAATACGGATGTTGAGACTACTATAGGAACCGAGAAAGCCAGTATAAAGCCGCCGAGTGAAGAAGTTCAATTACACGACGGCCGCTCTACTGACGCGACGAACACGCTTGTCGAAAATCAGAGATCAATCCATACGGACTCATCTAAACCATCTGAGGGCATATTAAGCGGAGAGTTAGGTGAAAAGAGCCGAGTGCCATTCGAACGAGAGATGGACGCAGAAAAGCAACCCCGTTACAACGTCGCGATCCATCAAGAAAATGAGAGAGCGACGCTAGTATCGCTAACTACAGACAGTTATAGATGGGCACAGGAGACATTCCCAACGGCAGCGGTCGTTATGAGCCATTTACCTTTCGCACTCGTCCCCTTTGCCTTCTCTATGTTTGTCCTCGTACAAGCTTTGGTTACGAAAGGTTGGGTACCCGTGTTTGCTTACGGTTGGGACCACTGGGTGAATAAGACGGGAACGATTGGCAGTGTTGGCGGGATGGGATTTCTTTCCGTAATACTTTGCAACGTAAGTTTTGACACAAACTTCATTTGGGCCTAATATTTGAGTACTTGATCTTGATCAGCTAACCCCCGACCCCAATTTAGTTCGCGGGAACCAACATTGGCACCACCATCCTTCTCTCCCGCGTAATACAGGCGTGGCAAAAGATTCACCAAGCCAATAACACACCAATATCTAACCGGACCTTTTGGGCTACGGTTTACAGGTACGTATCTTTTATCTTACGAAGCGTTTGATATGATTTGTATTCATTTACTGAGCTCTAAACGATATTCAACCCCTATTTTCATTTGCCTTACTGCGAGCCGCTAACTAATACGAAATAGCATGGCACTTGGCGTCAACTACGGCGCATTTAGCACAGCATTCAGCGCATCTTTAGCCGGCCTCCTCTGGCGCGATATCCTCGCCAGAAAGCATATCCGTGTCCGAAGACTCGATTTCGCCCGTGTGAACCTTCCGATCATCACGATTTCTATGGTTGTCGGTTGTGCCATTCTTGTTGGCCAGGTCTATATTATTAGGCCTACTACCGCTTATGACGCATGATTACAGCATTTATTAAGCCCGCATAGAGTTTTGGTATGATTAATGATATCTGATAGAGGTTGCATATGAATAATGATATTCCATGGCATTTTTGGTTACACGATTTGATGGCTATTCGTATCACTGATTCATGTGCAAGACCCGAGGTGTAGCAGTCGTTCCCAACAGGCCTTGTTCCGTGGCTGCATGAAGTAATTGGTCTCTTATCCATATGGAATCATGATACTGGAATATTGTGGCTTGTAGGTGGGCTGAGCATTCCTGGGAGCGGTTACTGACTCTTGACTATGAAACTGGTTATAAGACATATGATAGTTGTATTAGGCAGCTATCTGAGTGATATAAAAATCCCATGAAGCTAGCTGCTTAGTAGCATATGCTTGCAGGCCTACTTGAATGAAGCTATTGCGAGATAACCGTACTACCTAATCCATCGTAGCTCAGCATTACAAGTAGGTATTGACTGTAAAGCTATTGAATGCCACCATGTCGACCAAGGCGTTTTTGGGACGTAATTCAGGATACATCTTAAAGCACTTGGCTTTGCTTCCGGAGTGGTGCCTTGGGTAAGCGTAATAAAATGGCTAATCTGTAGGATGTATCTTCTCACGCGACGAGCAAACGGTCCTTAGTATCTTGGCGGCTTTCTCGAGATACCAGGCGTTTTAACAAAATATGCTCCTCGAGACCTCAAGTTTGAACGGCTCCCACGTTAAAGTTCCCTTTTGAAACTCTCTTGCGAGATGAGCATGCCATACAGGATAATGAGACATGAGTTGTCTCATCGTCATAAGGATCTTTATCTTATCTGTAATATGCATACCCAGTTGCTGTAGACGGTCGGCGATCTCTTGAAGTTTAGTGATATAATCATGCGGTGTTGTGTCGGCATCTACTTTGAGATCCATGAGCTGATTAAAGAGTTCGGGGATAGACCGTTCTGGGATTTTCAAGATAGTTGATATAGTAAGGTCATATAGAACCTTGGGGTCTTCTTCATCCTCCTTCCAACCAGCCATTTCAAGTCGTGCCTCTATTTCTGGGGTTCTCAAAGAATTGGTGATAAGCGCCATGCAATGTACACGTCTTTTGCGCCATCTTGGAACCTCGTTAACGTCTTGGGGCTTAAATTCAGTACCCAGTAAAAAGCCCTTAAGATCATAATAGATGCAGGATTGGTTAATATGACGTTTCCAGGCTTTCAAGTTGCTTCTGCCAGTTAGCTGAGGGACCGGGGGAAAGTGAAATGACGGTTCCTCCATTTTGGTGGATCTCGTGAATAATTATCGACAGTGATAGATGCCTAAGGAATGTATGCATATGTCGTTCGAATCCGGCGAAGATATATATAGTTCGAACACAGCTGTTGACAAAGGATAGTTCAATCCTGAAACTTTCAGTGACTAATTTCGAATACGGGCTACGCGAAAAGGGCGTTGTTATAGAAGGATGAATGGTTTAATCCTAGCACACGGTTGAAATAAGAGAGGGGAAAAGGGATTGGATATAGCTTAAGGAAGGTATGATTTTGTAAAGAAAGAGAAGCTTTTATGGAAGGGGCATATTTATGAAGGTAGCTACGATTTGATGGTTAACGATTTACGAAATACACGTCTAAAAAAAGGTACGTAATGCTGGTATGCACCTAAATTGATGTACGCAGCACGCCGTTATACCGCCAGCAAGGCTCTAAATAACTTCAATACACGAAATGATGGTTGGCCTAGGTAGCACAAGCTATGATCGTATGCCTATACCCTCAAAATATATCACGCGTGTGTTGTCTCAACGTCAACATTCTCATCACGCTTCTTATCTAACTCATTAAACTTCTTTACTACCCTCACAGTAGCATAATAACTAAACGGCAACGCAATGAACCAAAGCGCAAGGTTAATACTAGCCGTAGCAATGAGCGCTGTAGGAACGGCTTGGATACCGAACCCTACGGCAACACCCGCGGTCTCGATCCCTCGAAGCAAGGAGCTATATCTGATCTGGTCGCCTGGAGAATCCGATAAGTTGCTGATACACCAATAGATATAATTCTCGACCATTCCCGCACTGAGACGCTCAAACATGTAGACGCCGAAGCCACGGCCAAACTCTGCTTGATTTCCCCAGTCAAGGAGGGGAAGCGTGTGTCGATATTCGTTCTGGACATATACTGCCCATATCCATGTCGCACTATTAATCAGTGCGATTAGTATGTATGTACTAATGGCACGAGTCTGCCTCTTCTTCGTCCAGCGAATATCTACCAGCGTACCACCTAGCCAAGTCGCAAATGTGCCGACAATAGCGGACATAAAGCTACCAAGGGCTCTCGATCGAACTGTGAAGTATGTTGCTAAGTATGTCCCTGGATACGCTTGGGTCCAACCAAAGTACCAGAAAAGGGGCGTCAAGAGTAAGATTGACCTGCTCCTCATCAACCTCCACATCTCGCGTAGTTCGGTGCGCCAATGAATTCCCCTAGGAGCTTCGATGCGAGTCCCATCGTCTCGCTGCACCTTATCGGGGTTAGAAAGGAGAAGAGCGAGTAGACATCCGAGACATTGGATAGCGATAAAAGCTAGATAGGTTTGGTATCCTACTTGACCGCGATGATTAACGTTAACATTGAGACCCAGCGAAATGGCACCCCCAATGACATTTCCAAAGTTGCGAAAGGTAAACCACGTCGCGATATAACGGCCTCGCTTGTGATGTTCAGGATATCCCGTCGAGACGGCACCCTCCACACTCCAGAAAAACCCTGCGCTGATACCGCATGTAACGGCGCCAACATAGACAAGCCATGTATTGCCCCATCGATTATTGACATAGAGCCCAGCCGCGTACAGGGGATATCCAAGAGTCCCTATAGAAAGAGTCCAGCGGAATCCAATCGCATTCGTTAACCACGGCCCGCTAAAACAGGTCACCGTCATGAACGCGTAGAGCAGCGCATTGGCGGCGTTGACGAGGTCCGGACTCTGCGATCCGCCTACGCCAAGGCCGTTCATGGCACTCCATATTCCGGGCGCGGAGAAGGCGCATATACCCACTACAAGGATCTGGAATAGAGTGCTTCTAAAGAATGGGATTTTATCTGACTTTGACGGGATGTTTTCTTCATTTACGACTGTGACGGAGGTCGGGGTAGCTATATTGAAGCCATCCTTGGCGATGATTGACTCCCCAGACATCGCGACTGATGATGGCTGAAAACTAATGAATATGTTAGGTGAAATAATATAAGCCAAGTTTATATAATTCAAATGCTTAGGAATGTTCCTTAGGTCAGCATGAGAGCTTGTGAATATATATATATATCAATTAGAAGCTAATGCCAATATTATCATCTTATGGTCGGAGATAACTCAACGATAACCCTCGCTCCAGACATTTCCCCATTGAGTTTATCACAAGATATACGCGAGTTTCTATACCTCTGACGTGCTCGCTAAGCAGGGTATGTGGCGTATGTCGTGTTGGCCCTTAAGCAGACATGGTGCTTCTCCCATATGCTTGGACGTCTAATAGAAGTTCTGGTGAGGCGCGGGGTTATTAGTATGTATTGATAAGTTTGCAATGCTACCTTGAAGCCAAATATGCATGGTTTCATTGTTCCTCCAAGCAATGACGTGATTTTAGTCTAGAAATCGAGGGGCATAGGAGATGCAGGATATAGTATGATAGGTTGATGCTATCAGCGGCGATACTGGGCCAGTATAAGCTTTATCGCCGTGTTATACTATGTCTAGTTACATGATTCCTAAAGCTATATTACTTTCGACGATTAGACTCTAGGTAGTATTGAATATTCTCGTGAGGAGCAAGTTAAATAAATATATATTATCATGGCTACTACACTAGAGAAAGCGACAATACAGTCGTTCGAGCCGGAGAAGATAACTTCTCCGTTGCTGGCCTTCGAACAGTTTGATCTCCCGTCGAGTAACCAGCGTGTACTCGGGCCGCCCCATCCGGAAGGCACTGTGATTCCGCTCGCTCTACGGCCATCAACGCCTAGCGATGCGGTGCCTGATCTTGATACTGTTATTGAAACAGTGAAATATCTTCAATCGCAGGGTGGCATACTAACTAAAAAGTTGGCTGTTCATGGAACGCTGTTGTTCAGGGGTCTACCAATTCATGATGCGAATGACTTTAGCAGATTCGCTCATGCTTTTGGTTATAAACCACGGTATGTATGAGAACGCAGCGCTTATTTGATATATTTTCGGTTTCAAACTACTTGTAGAACTCTATCATAATGGTCAAAAACTAACGTCTTCGCAGTACGTCTTAAACTCTCATCATTGTATATGCCGTTATTCCGGTACTCCGAATTTAACCCCTGAAAGGAAAATGAATCCAAACCCACTAACACCAAGTAGATGAAATCATCGGCATCGTCGTAGACAGGCCACTCCTCGCACCAAACGTAGCTCCAGCCAACGAATCCCCTAAGGAAGTCCTAATCTACAACCACAACGAATCACCCCAAGTCCCCCACGCTCCAGAGTACATCTTCTTCTACGGCCACAAAGCCCCCAAACAAGGCGGGGAAACCCCTATATCCTCGTCTGTCGAGCTTTTCCACCGCGCCCAGCAGGAAATCCCCGACTTCGTCAACCAACTCGCCGAAAAGGGCATCCTCAGCAAAGTCACTTATAAAACCGATAAGCAATATACCGGCGGCTCGACGCTAAAGCAGGCTTTTGGAAAAGAAATCCAAGACGGTGATAACGAAGCGACCAAGCGCGCTAAGATCGAAGCGCAGATCGCGCGGTACGGCCGCGGCAAGCACACCACGTGGGAATGGACCGACGACGGCGTCGTCCTAACGCACCGGCTCCCTGCCATCCGCACGCAGCCCGGCACGGATCTGCCCACGCTGTTTACCGGGCTGGCCGCGTACTACAAGAACGTGCGGGTCAACGCGGCTGCCGGGCGGAACGTCACGCAGCAGCTGTTCGGAGACGGGACGCCGATCCCGGAGGAGTACCTGGCCGCGCTGGCGAGGATCACGGATGAGATCCGCGTGTTGCATAGGTGGCAGCGGGGCGATGTTCTGGTGTATGATAATATCATCGCGCAGCATGGGCGGGAGCCTTGGCAGGGCGAGCAGGCTGATCGTGTGGTTATGGCTAGTCTGTTTGACGGCCAGGTCCCTGGGGCTTATATTTCGGAGGATTGGGCACAGGTTGTGCAGGCTCTTGAGGGGTAATTGGGTTGTGTATCTATCTAGGTTGTTAGTAGCTAAACCAGATATATCACTCCTATTCAGATCCTTCTAGCGTAAGCATAATTCCATTCGAAACGGCCAGTTCCCGTATCAAGTCGGCGCATGCGCTATGGCCATTTTCCTTCGTAAGCCGTATCGCCTCGCGGCATTGCTCCGTCGGGAAACCAACCCCGCCGCTCGCATTCCAGAGGAATTCGATCATGTCAAGTCGACCATACTCGGCTGCTGCTTCGATGGGCCACCGCCCACTAACTGTAGACGGAGAGGTAGATATTTCCGCGCAATAATCCAGCAACAGGGCGGCGATGTTGCAATTCCCGCTCATAGCAGCGCATTGCAGCGCCGTCCTACCGTGGAAAGTTGCCGGTTCGTTGTTCACGTCTGCACCATTTTGAATAAGCAGTTTTACCATATCAAGACTTCCCTGTTCCGCTGCGGCTTGGATAGGGGTTCTTTTAATTCCTCGAGCGGCTTTTTCATTGACTTGGGCGCCGTGATCTATAAGGAATTGGACTAAGAGTTGATTCTTCGTCTCGATTGCCTTTAATAGTGGCGTCTTATGTCTCCGAAACCCACGCTTGTCGTTATCAGTGAATGCGACCCCATTGATATCGCATCCTGCGTCAAGGAGCCGTTTGGTTAATGGGAAGCCTAGTGGACAACTTTCTGCTTCTTTCGCAATGGCTACCCCGAGAAGGGACCACCTATTTCCACCGTGACCCCTACGGACAATTGTAGACCTGAAGTCAACGGCTTTGTAGTTAATGAATAAGTCTAACACCTCAAGATTATTGAAGCTTGCTTGGATAGCATCCATAAGAACCTGTGTTCCAAATCGTGGGATGCAAGTATTCGTTGATGAAGCATGCTGAAGCAAGATCTGTACTATATCGATATGCGGAGTTCTGAACAACTCATGCTCAATATCTGGGTGAAATATATCTGCTCCTAATTCGAGTAAACGGCGAAGCATCGTACTGTTGCGTTGATTAATTGCAATTAGTAGGCATTTTGTCAAGAACTGTCTATCGACAATTCCAGACTGAGTGAAGAAATTAAGCATATCCATATTCCCCGACTCTAGATTCTTTCTAAGTAAATAGCATTTTCCATGATGACTTATCTTGAAGTCTGGGTAGGCAGAAATCAAGTTAGACAAGAGTAACTTATTGCCGTACGCTCGAACGAAAAGCTCCGGAATTGTTTGAGGTGCGTTTACACTAGAAAGTTCGATTCCTGCGTTGAGTAATAATTGTACAACATCTTCTCGCTCGTTTCTACTCGCATATTCTAATGCCGTCACCATGTCGCCGCTTTTAGATTCGGGATAGAGAGTCAATAGCTTCTTCACGTACTCGAAGTCTCCCACACTAGCGGCGGCGGAGAGTGCAGCAGAAAACTCATACCAATTTCCATATTCACCTTCATTATCAAGGTGCTCTAAGGCGCCCCTATTTTCAAGCTCTCTGACTAGAGTGGCATTCCCTGCTTCTATTGCGTTAGATAGTGGTGTTTGGAAACATCTCCTATTGGGACTCGGGGCTAAGTGCACACTGGGGTTTTGGGTAAGAATGAATGCGATAAGTTCGTTATGACCACCTTCGATCGCTGCTGCGAGTACTGCAGCGAAATCTTCCGCATATTTTAAATAGGATTGCACAAGTTGGATGTGCCCATGTTTGGCACTAACGCAGATTGCCGTAGTTATTTCCTTTGGGTAACGACTTAAACATTGTTTGCAGCCAGTCTGTTCACAATCGTCAAATAGTATCTTGTCGAATGCTTTTTTGGCCTCTTTATCCGTAAAAAATCGCGCGACTAATTCTAGCCCATGATATAGCCCGTATTTTTCGGATATGAACTCGGAATGCTGCGCCGGTTTAAGCTCATGAAGGAGCTTCTCAGTAAGGTCCATATGAACAAACATATTGAGCGCCCTATTAATGAACCATACGTGCACTTTCGCCCCTCCTCGTATTAAAGCATCTACCGTATTGAGCCAGTCTTGGGAGAAAGTATTATGACAACGACCAATTTCAGGGATAAGCCCATCTAATAAACATCCTATGGCCCCCTTGTCGTATTTATTTCCAATAGAAAATGATCGGTTTGCATCAGCTTTGAACTGGAGCAACTCGTGAATTGCTCGCAGATTTTGAAGCCGAGCAAGTCGCTCAAGGGGTGTATACTTTGTGCCTTTAAAGAAGCAGCATATTTCGTTAACGTCTACTAATCCCGTATTGAGGACGAGTCTGATTGCCTTATGATCTCCGGATTCTATCCACGTACGAAATAAATTTTCTGCAAGGGCCTTTGTGACGTGATTTGGCTTGTCGTGGAATAGGTGTGGCAATAGCTTGTCAACGTTGCTATTCTGCTCAAGGAATTTAGGTACGACTTCGAGCGGTATGCCGTTTATACCACTAAACCCATTCGCTGCCGAGAATAGAAGTATTCGACACATTTCGACCTCGGACCTTTCTTGTGAGAGGCTGGTCGCTTCATTATTTCTATAATCTAGTCGGTGGTTCGGGAGAAGCGTGTCTAAAGTTTGTAAAGTAAGTCTGGCACTGGCAGCGTTTGCGTTGACAGACTTCCCATTGGCATTTGCCATGGCAGTGACGGCCTCGAAGAAGAACATCATCTCCCGGTTCCCTGCCCCTGATAATAGCCGACAGCCAGAGGGAGAGTGCATGAGCTGAAGACCTTTCGACAATAAGCTACGTTCAAATCGTTCAAAAGGCAAATCATCTAAAAACATTGACCAAAAAGAAAATTGGGCTATGTTATTCAATTGCGGCTCGAAATTTTCAAACTCTAAGGCTGGGTCCGCAATGTTAACGTTGAGTTCAAAGCGCATCGGCGACTGTGCAACTTGTTCATGAGAAATTATAGCCTGCGCAAATATTTGATCTTCGACATTTATGAACTGATTGTATGTCATGAGCGGAAGTGTATCTGGGAGTGTCGGGGACTCGATGGCATCGGGGCGTGGGACAACTTGAGCAGAGTAGTTTTCGACTTGAACCTCTTGTTCAGCGAACTCTAGTATTTCGTCGATGCCTGGTGATTGTCGCTGGAAGGGGGTATTTTCCCTAGCTGCGTCTATATATGGAGTCCAGTTGCCGTCGGAGTCCTGAATTTCAATGGCAACCCCTCCGTCGGCACTGTTTGTCGCCCGGTTTGAGCGCTCTTCGATCCGGCGTCGCTTTCGAGGATGGTGATCACCCTTGGGGTAGCGTTTGGCTCGATGGATTCTGTCCATTGGAACAGGGTGACCTGCTATCATCACCCTGACCTGAATACCGCGAGAAAATAGGTTATCAATCTTCGGCAAGATCACTTCCCATTCGTCTCTCTTTATATTCTTACGAGCGTTCCAAACTCGTAGTTGGGCTTCGAATTGTGATATACTGTATAAACACAATTAGATAGAATAGAAGAGCGAAGAGTGATAGCCTTACGTCGCAACGAATCCGAAGTCCTTTTCCATGGTCTGAACCAATTCATCCCCGGAGAGATCAGAAGTAAGGTAGAGGCTCAGAATAGTTTCCTTGTGGCGCTCCCAATCCTCCGAGGGAATCTTGCGCGTCTTGCTAGCCATGTCTAGGTACTTATATATTATAGGCCATACGGCAATGGGCCAGGTACTATATTTTGTATTAGGAGTGAGATATGAGCTTCTTTCAACTGACAACGACGATGGTAACTGACAAATAACAAATACTTAAAAATACCCCCTTCTTTCATCGAGGAGTAGCCAGATATATATGCTGATAATATTTGACTACTAACCTTGGCTAAGCAGGCTGAGATCCTATTGCCAATAACATGTGCAAAAATGCACCCACCTTGACGTGGTTGCAACTCCATGGTATAGGTAGGTTTACGGATATATTGTAGTATGCTATATATGCCGTACCACATAAAATTGAGGCTTCGTCTTTCAGATTTTGTCAACCAGGTTTCGTCACTGCAACTCAAGAATAATAATATATTAGGCATGTCCTCCAATCATATCAGCGACGCCTTATATATAAACCCTTGTCGCGACGGTGCGCCATTGTGCCTTGCCATCATATTTCTCAGCCAGTCAACCAGTCACTCTAATTGGCTTTGCTATAAAAAGGCATCCCACCGTAACTCTCAGCTAAGGTTCGCGACAATGGACTTCGGTGTAGTAGGATAACCTTTAGGAAAATGTTCAATATAGGTAGGTCCAAATGCAATTTATCCGGCCCTTTACCCGCAAACCAACATCCTATGAAATGAGCCGCGTAATATTAAATTGTCAAGGCCACATTGAAGGTCTTGGCACATCACCTATGAATACTAAATTTCAATTGGCAGTATATTGGCAGTATATCTAGTCAATCGTTAGATTAGAGTAAGAGGAGAAGACATAATATGTAATTCTTCTTCGACGTTCGCGCTATGCCGTCCTACCGCAGAGTTATCACAGCCGTTTGCGTTTTTGCCCCTCTTCTCTATATTTACTGGCAAACAATTTTGGTTCCTGATACGCGGAAGAGCTTTAGAAGTTGGAACCTAGCTGAAAAAGAAGATGCGTTCAATGATACGCTAGGTGTAAGGTCTCATTCCCATCCATTTACTTCTCATATGTGCGTTGAGGTTAGATCTAATTGATCCTCAAGCTCTCAAAAATATTCGTCATCAACCTGCCATCACGGAAAGATCGTCGAGATGCTATGAGTTTAGCAGGTGCCGTTAGCAATCTCACTTTCACATGGATTGACGGCATATCGGGTGGCCAGGTTTCGGACCATGATGTGCCTGTTCGTAGGGGAATACATTCGTCGTTGGGGGCGAAAGGGTCCTGGAGGTCGCATATTAATGCGCTTCAATCAATTATAAGGGAGGACCTAACAAGTGCGCTCATTTTAGAAGATGATATAGACTGGGATGTACGCCTAAAGTCGCAACTTCGAACTTTCGCATTGGCCTCGAGGACCTGGTTGAAAGAGTCCAAGTTTGATAAACACCGAACCGTACAACTGTCCCTGGAAGCTAGCACGGATAGTGAAATTTACCACGCCGCTTACGGGGATGACTGGGACGTTTTATGGCTGGGCCACTGCGGTGCAGATTTCCCCGACAGCCAATCTCTCATATCACCTCTGAGAATCGAAGTCCCAGGAGACGAGACGGTCCCAGCTCCAAAGCATCTCAAGCCTCACCCATTCGCCTTAAACGACAAACTCGGCGAACTATACCCGCCACATACTCGCGTCGTCCACGCATCTAGCGGGAACGTCTGCACCCTAGCCTACGCCGTCAGCCGCCAAGGAGCTCGCAAGCTTTTATCGCAATTCGACGACCACTACGATACCCAATGGGACTTGATGCTGCAGAAATGGTGCGAAGGGGAGTATGCTGTCGAGACCAAGTCTCGTCTGAATTCAAGGATAAAAGACGATAGAGGGGCTATCCATGAGCGTGGAGGATCTGCCCCCGTTTGCCTCACGGTACAACCGCCCCTATTCAGTCATCATTATGCGAAAGGCGGCGCCTCCAATATCCAAGGCCAAGGCGGTGGTTACGCGAAGGGAACGGGTACGCCGTATATAAGACTAAGTGTACAGCAGAATATCGACCGCTTAGTTGCTGGCGCGCGGCAGGGTGAGATGGTGGACCAACTACCCGATGACGGGGATACTATATGGAAATAGATGGAAGCTTATGAAGTCAATATAGTTATCTTCTTTTTATGTCCCGTTTAGGCCTACCAGAGGAACAATCCTTCTAATCGCCTCTTGATCTCTTGATACCACCAGACCACACCCCCAAAATATAGGGAACGAATGCAAGAAGCAAAAGAGAACAATTCCAGAAGAGAAAGCTAGCTAGAGATTATTTCGAAGGCCTTCCATCAAAGAGACCACCATTAAGGATTCAGCAAAGTTTATAAAATTCAAGTAGCCCAAGAAAGTAGAGCAAATAGGAATTGTCATTGAGTTCACACGAAAGCAAGTACCGTTTTATGAAATTGTCAGGCAACCCTGTTCTAGGACGTCAAGACCCCATCTTATTGCGATCCGTAATTAATCCCAAACTATCCCGTCCCAGATAAAAGCCTGTCCTCTAAAGCAAACAACTATCATAGGTACATAAGAGACACTTCACATAAACTACGGCGAACGAACTAATAAATATCTCTCATGACTTATGTATGTGTCGTATCTATTCGGCATCATGCTCTAGGGTCGAGCTATGCGAATGCGAGCCCCTCATTCTATCTATCATGCCATTCCCCTACCCGTCTATATGAAACGCCTGTACGGTACACGTTAATGCGTCGTCGATTATAATGCCAATTTCCCAAACAACGCAAAACTCTATCAAAAGCCCTCGTTTACGAAGGACCAAGTTGTTGAATCTGAATGAAAGTCGCTAGCCTCTAGACCGACGTGCGTAAAATAATTCATCAAAGGTACCATCTTAAGAAGACATGGATGCCCCTTACTCCTCATCATCCGTATCAGCTGGGTGTGGTGTACCCTTCGGACTGTTGAGCCACTCAATATGGCGTAGTCTCCTCCGCACCTCCTGCTCCTTGAACTCCTTCTTAGTCTTCTTCCTCTTCTTCTTAGCCTTGAACTTCAATGGGCTATTATCCTCAGTACCGCTGTTGACAGCGCTGCTTACTGCACTGCTGGCTGCTGTGCTGTTAACTCCACTGGTAATACCGCTTGCAAGACCGCTGCTTGGCCTACTGTCTTCAAAGCGATCCGTGGCAATTGAGGCATTGCCCTTCAAGACCATACGTCCGTCATTTATGTGCCACTGTTCATTAGCTAGAGCACCGACGAACTCTTCGTTGTGAGAAATCATGACCACGCCACCCTTGAAGTCTCTGATGGCTACCGCAAGACCACCAAGAGAATCGCGATCCAAAAAGTTAGTAGGTTCGTCAAGAACGAGCAAATGAGGATTGTTCCACATCGCACCGGCGATAACGACCTTAACTTTCTGGCCTCCAGATAAGCTACCAATTTCGTTGTGGTTGGCAATCTCAGGGTCAAGACCGAGGTCCTCGAAATGCTTGGAGATGACCGTAGGTTGAAGCTCTCGGTAACCTAGACCTTCACGAGACGCCTCGTGATCATCGAACTCTTGTACAAGCTTATCGAAACCCCATTCTGAGAGGGTTTCCCGAGAGACTTGCGAGTTGAATTTTGGTAGCCATGTTCTCCATTTCCTGTAAATTGTTAGCGGCTGTCTTTAAGAGTAGAACAATAACGGTTAACTTACACCTCGTATTGAAATGTTTTCTTGTATTTCTGACGACCAACAAGAGCTTCAATCTGTCGCTCGCCCTTTCCATCGCCGAGGTCAATTCGCTTATCCATCTGTTCCCGGTCCTTATCTGAAAGAATACGGGTCTGCTTCAGGAACACCTCTCTGTCGTCTCCATTTGCGTAACGCCATTGCAAGTACTGATTCGGCGTCTTCTCGAGATGCATCTCAACGTGCTCAAGAGCATGCTGTTTAATGTAACCAATTCGTAGGTTAGGATGCTTCTCAACTTTTCCGCTAGTCGGAACCACCTCACCCGTCAACAGCTTGATCAGGGTTGACTTTCCAGCACCGTTCGGTCCGATCACAGCAACACGGGAAGAAAGAGACAACTGGCACGAGACATCTGAGAGAGATGGTTTGGGCGCCTTAGGGTATTGGAAAGAAACCCCAGTCATTCGGATGATCGCCCGCGTCTGAGACTTGACGCCTGACAAGATACCCGGAGGAGGAAACTTGAACTGGACATTGGAGGCCGAAAGAGTATAATAAGCCTTGGCTTCGGGGCGAATCTTAACGAAGTCGGAGAGGTTGCCTTTGAAATGGCCAAGCTTCTTCCCAGGTTCATAGTGGTAGATGTCAGTTGTTACGTTGTCCAAGAAACTAGAATCGTGGGAAACGATCAAGCTAGTGATGTCTGTGTGACTCTTGAGGTAGCTTTCCAACCAAGCAATGTTAGCAACGTCGAGATGATTGGTAGGTTCGTCAAGTAATAGAACATCAGCTTTTTGCAACATTGCTCGAGCAAGAGCGAGCTTCATCTTCCACCCTCCTGACAGAGAGCCAACCTTTTGAGACTGTCTACCCTCAGGGCCTGCCGTGAAGCCGAATTCAGCTAAGACTTCAGAAATTCGCTCTCTACCCTCAGATGCGATTGTTGGATCTTTAACCATGAAATCCAGAATGCTAATATCGGCATCTTCACCTTGGTTGTGCTCAACGTAGCAGGTACGAAGGACATCCTGAGGTGGGAAGCCTTCCAGCTTACCACCAGCAATACTCTTCATCAATGTAGACTTTCCGGCACCGTTGCGACCACAAAGACCATATCGGTGCCCCTTCAATAATCGAAGATTGGTGTGGGAAAGAAGAAGCATGCCACCGTAGGCCAGGGAGAAGTCTGCATTAACAATCTCAGTCTCGCCATCGTCCTCCTTCTCCGGTATGCCGTACTTGCGGTGGTCCTCAGCAACGTAGAACTCATAGACACTAGAAGCGACAGTATCGCCGGCGCCCTCTTTATGAATTATATCTTTAAGATAAGGCGCAATTTTAGACGGGATTCGATCAACTTGACGATGATTAGCATCTTCGGCCACCATCTTGCAGATATAAGGACGAGCTATTTTATAAAACTCTAGGTCGCCTGAAAGCCCCCCGTTCTTCTTGATCTCGGAGTCCAGAACCTTAGCGACATCATCTGCAGAAGTCCTCTCCACTACAGCTTCATCGTTGCCCATAGCTTTGTCCATGACATCCAAAGCCCTGGTAGCTAGCTCACGCACTTCTGGTAGCGGCGCACGACCAACCACGCTTTTCACACCTGGCTGAAGCTTGGGTAAAAATGTACGTGCCTCAATAGGATCATGGACTAGCTTGGTCAAGTTTTCGGTGATCACAACAGTTTGCCGTAGTACCTCTTGAGCGGTGGTGGGGTTGTTAAGGGTTCGCTCAAGGAAAGGAGTAAGCAGGGCGAGAACAGGAGATGTCACGACAGCGACGAAGGTCGTCTGCGAAAGAGCGTGGATGGCCTTCTGAAGGGTCTGGGTTGAAGGATGGTGCATAGTGTCGACAAGAAGGGGAATCCTAGGAGCGACATCGTCGTTAGATAGGAGGGTGGTGAGGGATTGCATCGTAATGAGTGCCTGCTTCTCGACTTCGGACTTGAGGTCGTGCATGTTGCCCTCAACTATGGGGATCAAGCTAGCCAGCTTTTCGCCCATAGCCTCTCTAAGGGTATCCTTCTCTTGAGCTTGTTCTTTCGTGCAGCCAATTTCCATCTTTGCTTTATCGGCCATCTTCTGCATCAGCTTCAAGGCACCAACTGTACCCTGCCACTTTCCAGTCTTCTTGGAAAGGTAAGTTATAAGCGCGGGCAACAAGCCGACGACCATAGCCTCAGCACTTAAATGACCAAAGAGCGCATCAAGTCCGTATTGCGCAGCATCGCGGACCACTGTGCCCTTGTCGGCTAAAGCGTCTAGAGCAACGGAGACGAAACCACCATCCTGAATTAAGAACACAACTTCACTCAGCGGCTGCCGAGCTGGAAATTTCTCAAAGAGGGCGCCGAGAAGGTTCTGGGCACCCTCTCGTCGTAATCCACTCTTCTTATCAGATGCGGCTTTCTTGACTTCAGCCAATACGCCGTAATCATGCAGACCCCGAAAGCCTACAGTGTTTAACAGGAGTTCGCAGAGTCCATAAGAGGCGTCGACCGAAGCAGCGGAGGTTTTGGCGGTAAATATAGTGTCGAGAATTGATGAAACATCTTGTTGCGACGGCGGGGGAGGGGCTCCCGCCTTAGAAATCATAATCGGCGGCGACACTTGATGAGGCATCGTGAGCGCTCGTTCTTAACGAATTGGGCAGAAAGAAAAAAAGAAAACACCCAACTTGTTGAAGAGCGATGAGGCAAACGGCACCGCAATTTTAATAAAGGGTCAGCTAAACTGCCCGAAATGCCCTCGATCGTGGGCGCTGAAAACTTTGACGGTGAGCCAGCGTCTTACTTTTTTGATGTGTGGAGTTAAAAGAAGACGGGATGGGAATTTTGAAAAAAATGTTGGCCTTATCGACTTTGATGTTACCCCTCGAAAAGTTTTCTCCCTTTATCTACAGGGGGTCTATGTATATATGTACCGAAAATAGAATGGGTCCTTTAGGTACGTACCTTCTTACATTCGGCGCACGTTTTCTTGCTGCCGTCCTTCTTGTGGAGCCAATCTAGATCTGTCCCCAGGCTTCACGCCACCAGAAACCGCCTTAAATAAGACAAAAAGTCACTGACGAAGAGCCTAACAAAGAAAATTTCAAGGTCTAAACTTTCACCCATCTAGCGTCCATATGCAGCCAATCACAACAATATACCTTACTCATAACATCAGAAGAATAAAAGCATATAATTCCTCCAATAGTATTATTCCTTTTTTTCCATTAACAATCATGTCCAGTTTATTAAGAGTCACTTACGTAAATTTAGTTTGTCGTAAGCCCTACGGGCGGAGCTTCGATAAGGTGTAACCTGAGCGGCCGTAGTATTGGATACAATGCAAGAAGTATTTAGTAGCTATCTCCTAGGTAAATAAAAGACTCTAAAAGAATACCTAAGAGGTAGCCTCGAAGTTTATGCCACTAGACAATCCAATTTAAACAGCAGATCACATACCTATATACCTACCTATTACCTAGGTACCTATATTCTACCTGTATTTAGATACCTATCGACATTTGAGGTTAGGGTATACAACTAACTAACTAACTGCGTACTCATAATGATGCCAAACTACTCCGGCTCAAAATTCCCCCCATTCAATAATAATCATTTGCTTCCTTGATTTTAGTCGACCTCTTTCTCCCAAGTCTATCAGCGAAATTGGTATACGTACCTACCTACCTATCAATGGAAATAAAAAAGACATTATGAAATAGTAGATTATAGGCCGATGAATTTATCAATTAGTTCCTAAGTACTTATTAAAGTTATCAAGATCTTCAAGCGTAGGCTAGAGTACAGAGTAAAACGCTATATAGGTGGTTTGATACTATCAGAATATTTATAAAGTCAAAATCTAGCCAAAATTGAGCCATTATCAAATCCCTGGTAACTGTTTATAAAGGCTCGCTATGAATCTAGAAGGTATGGCAAAAATTTTGTTGTTCTGTAAAGGAATCTAAATATAAGTCACCTAGGTATAGAAACTAACGAGTATACATATAGGTACTAAATCCATCCCTCGCTCTGGATATCTCATCGGGATCCCAATAACAAGTTTTCATAAGTGCTAAATAGGTACTTAGAGCAATGTCCTAAATAACGTTGAATTTTGACTTTGTCTTATCTTGATGCAGTAGAACTCACACGATAACTAGTAGTAAGCCCGTAGAGACAGACCGAATATAGATAAGCAGCGCGACGAAGCTAAAGTTGCAGTGGATGCTTTGAAAGCTTGCTCTAGTCGCTTTCGTATAAGACAGCTCCCTCACTCTTTTGTTTGAAAACAAAGAGATGTTTAGTTGTTGAATAATATTAGCTTGCAATTTCATAACAAGGAATCCCCGTTTAAATGATATCGCTATTAAATCATTAGATATTTAAGATAGAGAGTTTAGGATCGAACAGTCAGATCTACTAAGGATGCTCCCAGTGTTAAGTTTAGATAGGATAACCTCCCTCAATGATGGGGCACGTACGACTTCGTGATACCCTCGCCCTTCTAGTTACATTCGTGAACGCGAAAGAAAGAAAAAGAATTGTACGATATAAATGTGGTCTCGGTATTGGGCATCTCGTGATTCAGAAAATATGACGTTTTACATAGAAGGAACAAGACGATTCGCAATAAGCACGGATATCACATATGGCGGCATTGTGCGTTAGTCGCGATCTGACGTCCAGCGTCGACAGAATATTGGTTCCCCTATGTATGCAGCGCACGGACGATATTGAGCACATGGTCTTCGAGACTCGACGAAAGAAGATATGTCGCCCGCACGAGTGTGACGGTTTCGGAGATAAGGCCTGATATTATGTATTTCATCGAGACAGAAAGCTTCTACGTTAGCACGCCAATACTCATTGTGATAGTGTGGCGGGCTACCCATTGGGAAGACAGGGTGGTGAATAAATCTTCTCACGTGAGTTGTTTCCCGGAGGTACAATATCAAAAGTGTTCGAGGCGCGGACCGGAATGTGACATTGATGCCAATATCCATAGTTGTGGCTACAAGACCCGGTAGCATTGAAAGACTTGTTAGGAATAGAAAGGACGAGTTCCAAGTTTTTACGCTTCACATTAGTTGTCTAGATTGGATCAGTCGGTCCGTCCTCACCGTAGATATTAGCGGAAAGGTATAAATGATTTGTCGCTCACCCCTAAGGTAGGATGTTACTAACAGAAGTTAAAGCAGCTGACCAAAATTGTCGTGAGATAAGCTAGGAAAAGCGAAGACCGTAATGGAAGGGGATTTCTCTATGAGGAAATCTGGGTTACAGTAAAGGGAAATATCACGGGAGTTGTAGGTCCACGCCAAGAGAGCCAAGACATTCAGAATTTCCCAATTTGGATAATGAGGCAACTTTAGCTGGGGCCGGGAATGATACACATTTCGGCCGGTAACAAGGTCGTTGACGTTGGACCCACGGGATGTCGGTATCTGTATGTATTGTCAAGGTAGTGAAGGAAGATCATACTGTTACCTGGAATTCGGAACTGTCATCAGACGAACTTGCATACGGAACTTTGCCACCCTGAGCTACATAGCTCGTAGAAGATCATTCACGATGCGGGTCCCCCTAATACGATGAGAGGTTCTAACATTGATCGTCAATTTATTATGCATCATGTAGTACGAGGTAGTCATCTTCGTCTATCTACCTATGTCTAGAGTAAGGGTCATTAGCTATATACCTCATACCCATATTTTGTACGACTTATCATTTTCGAAGTCGTCGCCATCATAAGTCGAGACAGGCTCTAGGAGCTTTTATGACTCTATCGGTCTCCATAAGCTTGATGAGGGATGGCTGCGGAGCAGCGACCCTCAAGATGATAACCGGGTCGATTCAAGCACTTCGCTAAACTCCATCCTAGACGTGATTACAAGGATGTCAGAGCGGGATTTGCCGGTGGTTGTAACTTAGATGGGTAAACTGGGGAAGACGGAAAATTAAATAAACTAGCTTCAGGGGTTCGTGGTCCATCAGTCCATCCCGGCGCTTGATATTCAATGGAGCTTACTGTTTGTAGCCCCGGTTGTAACTTGTTGATAGTTGTTGACCAAGCAAAAGACAGGGTACCTAGCTACGTAGAGCCGATGCGCTCACATATATCTGTTGGAAACTGATGATAATGGCCTCTAAAAAGCTACAAAACCCCCAAGGCTCGCACAAAATGCCCGAGCCAAATCACTCCTTCGCCGTAGGCTTTCTTCTCGGAACGTTCTAATTTCAGTAGTGTGTAGAATCGGAGCACGCCATCTTCTATATAAGATAGTCGAACTATGTCTAATCTTTGAGATGAAGAGAACGCTTCCGAATCTAATAACAACGTTGACACTGTCTACTTCCTTAAACATCAAGTTACACTAATAATTATACTACATATAAACAGCATTGGATACACCACACGATATTTAAGGCGCAATGGCACCGGATTCTACTGGTAATACGGGATTTCAGTTCATAACCTCTATTAGCACCGTGGAGCGGGATGAGGAGACACGCCGAAAGGTGCGCTCGCATGCCAGACGACAGAAGCTCCCTCACGCTTCCAACCATCCATCTCAGCCGAAGAAACCAGGATCTGCAAAAGACCATACTTCGAAGTTTAGACTTAAACCCAAAGGCTCGTCCAACCAGGATGACGTCCCAAGGCACGAGAGGAAGCCTAAGAAGACCAATTGGCTTGCTGTTAGTGTCGCAAAGGAACTTCCGAACTTCACGCTGTTACACATAGAGAAGACGCCTTTGACGGAAAGCTTGATGAAGTATTGTATGGCCGTGTGCTTGTCGCCACAAGAGGCATCCGTAGAGAAATGGTTTGACCGGGCTGGGGTACCAACATACTTGAACACATGTAAGCTTGAACTTCCTCATTAATCAAAAGCAAAAGGAGATTGTTAACCAACTATAGATTATTCCGGATTCCTCGCAAATGCCTTCGCCATGAACCCAGAAGGAACTTGGGTGCAAGCGGTTTCAACCACCCAATCCCTACCATATAGGTAACTAGACGCTAACATGTAATAGCTTCAACTGGATAAAGCCGCCACACATGCCTTCATTGCCATGATCGCAGCTATGCACAACTCACTTGCGAGGTGGGCCGACACGAGTACCATCGACTTCCATCGATTCCAAGCGGTCAAGTCTATCAATGAGAGGCTAAATCTGGAAGGCAAGGACGATAGCAAGCCAATCTCAGATGGACTCGTCGTTGCTGTCTCTCTACTGGTTAACATCGAAGTAAGATTTCAATAGGAAAATGACTTGATAAAACCAATCGTTCGAGAAACTAATCCTACACAGACTTTCATCGGCTCGCTCAGTGCTGCCGCAGCTCACATGAGTGGCTTAAAGAGAATGGTCGACCTTAGAGGTGGAATTGTTGACGGTTTCAAGCACAGCAGTATACTTCAACGATCTATATCATGGTAAGTAGCGTTTATTAGTCTCTCGACTCTAGACTATATGCTTACTACTATAGGGCTGACTATTCCTATGCCACTGCCGCGCACAAGCCGGTCGCCTTCCCCTTTATTCCACAACTAGCATCCTCCCTAGCTCTCCATGATCGGTTCACAAGCCGTTCGATGTTAGCGAATATGGAACCACTTGGATTCAAGGACCTAACCATCCAGAATCGCGAAGCGGTCGAGCTTTTCGAACTGTTATATTCGATCACCGAATGCATTAATAACTTCGACTATGCAAGTCTCGAGAGCACATTTGGGCAGAGGATCCAGGTCAGCGACTCGATCTACATGATTGAGTGGCGGCTCTGCCATCTAGAACATGCTGCTCGGAGTCGGCAGTCTTGGAAGAGAGCCGGCTCCGTTCCATTGCTACCATCGGTCGAGGTCGATACACAGCCACGATTCCCTTCGCCGACTGATTTGTCCGACGTTTTGATCTACGCTGCGCATTTATTTCTTCACCTTGCCATCCGAGGTCAGCCCCCTTCCGCTCAGAGACATCGCGCACTGGCAGAAGCGCTTATGTCGTCTCTCTGCGACCCTGTGTTAGCCTTGGACCTTCTATCTGAGCCGAAGGTATACGAAAGTGGCGAGTCACAGGTAACTAGAAGCAGCGTGGAACAATCCACTACAGCAAACTTATCTGCATATGTCCCAACGTCAGAGATATCGCACACGGGCATGTCGAGGCTCTCCGGAGACGAGCTTCATGCTAACATTCTCCTTTGGGCCCTATTCATAGGGTCTTGCATCCGCATCCCAGTTGTAGTAAATGAATACTCGGTCCTAGGCGGTGACCAACACAACTTCTTCATTACCGCGCTGAAGAACTACTGCCGGATGAGGAACATCCTAGATAAAGAGATGTTTCTCGCGAAACTCAAGGATGTCATGTGGCTTTACAGCTGGTGCGAACACCAACTAGGACTTGTCTGGGAAGAGATTGCCAACGGCCTCAGACCATACGTGACGGCGGGGGATCAAGTGAATTCCCCCATGGGTCGTGATCAACAAGAGCAACAACAGTGAACTCCTATTACCTGGGATCATAGTAATGTCTAATCTAATAAGTAATCATTAGCTGACTCACAAGATGTAAACGCTGGCAGGACAATCTTGAATCACCTACTAATATTGAATAAACTCACCTTAATCTAATATTATATTACTATGAATGGTCTCTATACTTTTTGTAGTTAAAGTAGAATGTTCAGTAGAAACCATGAATGATTCAACCCAGCTTTATTGTATACCGTTCTCTATTAAAAGGAGCTTGCCCCCAACACCATCTGGGTTTCGCACCACAACTTCATTATCGAACAACTTAGGTACCTACCAGTCAATAAGGATGTCAATAAGCGTAGGAAAGCCGGCCCGTTCCGCATCTTCTGGCCCCGAACCCCCAGATCCAGATCCAGATCGATATAGACGATCACGCGCCCCATCCCCAGAGCCATTACCACACCCACCACGCCCACTGAGTGACCAGATGCAGAAATTAAACCTGCAAAAGGGCCATGATGTTGGGTCTAAGAAGGATGAAACGAGACAGAAGCGGTGAGAGAATACTAGCATCAACGGTTTACCGCGGGCACATATCTAGATAGTGCTAGAATCATATAGCACTAATACTTACGGGCATGGGATGAGCCGGAAGTATCCCGAAAGGCGAGAAAGTATGTTATTGACGCTTGGAGTGTCGTAATATGCTTGTGTTTAAGCGGGACCCTGGATATATTTATTCATTACTTCGTGGCTGGTGTGGAGTATGAGATGGGCGAGTAATGTCGTAGACAAATACCGGCAATATTAATATACATCAACATTATCCACCCATACTAATTCTAACAAAAAATTTGTTAGAAAAGGGCCATGAAAGTCTTAGTAAGTAGTATTGTTAAATGTCTCTAGGTTGGCATATACATCATCCAGAAATAAGCGCATTTAAAGAGCAACAGCTTACTTAGATTCCCTATATTTGATGTCGGCAACTGGATTTTGCTCTCCCCCTAGTGGCATCTCTTCCCGCATTGTTTCTTTTAAGAAAGCCTGTTACCGACTACGAATTTCGCCGTCTTTAGCTTATAAGCGGTGGACTTCGCGGAAAGCGGATGGTCGGCCGAAAGACGAAGAGCAGCACTTGAAAGAATATAATGCTTGTTGTGCCGCTGACTAAAGATATTGTTGCCCTATAATCTCGATCTATTTTCATTCTAGGGGCTTGCGGTCGGTGTAATATTTGGCTTCCTGCGGCCTGACTTTCATCCGACACGTAATAATCCTCCGGTCTGTTTGGTATCCCCATATCCGGAATTGTGTAATACTCCGAGAATAGTTGGACGGTGTAGTGGAGTTCGCAGCTGCAAAAGCATTATGTTTGTCGGAGATGTCCTTCACGATTGATTTAGGATGTATTGGCCACTCTTGATGAATTATTCGCTGGACAATCTATTGGCGGATAACACCAACATAGTATGGCAAACCCAGGACAATTACCACCGACGACGTCTGATCTAATTGATGCTTCGGACTGGGACACGGCACTAGTCATAACCGATGAATGGATGAAGAAAATCGTTCCGGAGAGGCGGCATAGCGGATGGGAAGCAGTAGAAAGACAATGGGTCGGAAATAAGCAATCGCAGCAGTCAACAGATTCAAGGCCATCCAGGTACATATACGAATGGACATTCTTTACTATCGTATCTAACAGGGTCTTATAAGGGAACTTACGAGGAAAGAGTATGAAGCTATAGAAAGGTTTCCATATCCGCAGAGGGCCCTTCCAACTCCACAACTAGAATTTGACTTCCGAATGAGAGTTATTCTGAATCCACAGTCTGCTTCAGTTGCCGTGAATGATGGGTTTAAGAAGTGGTCAACATTCTCCGACGGTAGCTGGTCGGGCCGTTTTGGATACGGTCTTGTTGTGGTAAGTTATCCAAACTAGTCGTGGTATATGTTGATATGAAATATTAACTTGAAATAGAATGGAGGGCAAGAGAGTCAAGACATGATCCATGGAAAAACGGCAGCAACTTCGGTAGAAGGTATGCATCGGCTGCAGACTGGGGACGAAGTGCCAGCATAGTGAGTATATCGACATAGGCGAGAATGTATAGACTGATCTACGTAATAGCATCGAATGCAAAACGCGAGGAAATATGACCGGACCTCCGGAGCTAGTCAAGGCGCTTCAGGACCCAGAGGCATCGGTATCGGTAGACCCAAGATCGTGTCTGTTCAGGGTGTTCGTCACCATGAAGACTACGGATGATCGATATGCAGAGAAACTAAACGCTGGGATGTGGATCGGAAGTTGCCTTTGGAAAGGGTTAGAAATCATATATGAGTACGTCTGCCAACTTCACTATCGCTAGAGATCCAGCTAATGATTGCCAACTCATAGCGCATACCGAGTGAATTAGCGGATACTCATATGTAGTAGTTGAATGATCATCACGATCATCACTAGGGATGAAGAAAGTTAGTCAGAGCTGAAGTCTCAAACCGGCTGGGCTCAAGATCCGGATTTCACCTTAGAATTGCATTGAATTTCGTCCAAGTTTTGGTATTTGCTAAACACCAGGATTTTATCATCCAATGCGATCGAGATTCAGGTCCTTTGCCAAGGCTCCGCCGGATATTTTGATCCCACCAGGTCGGGACCAATTGTGGACATAGTCTAGACCTTCAATGTTGGTAAGGCGTCCGTCGGTATTGGATGCACCTATGTAAGGTACCTAATGTACATCAGCGTGATCAGGATTCGGGAACAGGACTTGACATGGTGGGACTCAATGATGGCATTTAAGCAATAACAAACGATATTAAAAATTACCCCGGATAGCTATTTGAGTCCCTGCATTTCCTAGAATTTCAGGGTCTTGTAGTAACCCACTTTCGTCACAGCTCTTATATGATTGGTTAACCTTTTTTGACATATCGTTTGATTGGCTACACGTCTCAACTCTGTACGTCATACTAATGATCTTCTATCTTGTACATCATCGTCGACGGCAGTAAAAACAGGTTTACGTCACGGTCATCGAGATGAGATACACAAGTTGTCGAAGTATTCAAATAGATCCATACCCGCCCGTGGGTTTCTATACATTTTCATATTTTTACATATTATTCATCTTAGATCTATCTCTAACTACCTATACAGTGTAGTATCCAGCTTTTTCTACCATACTTATATACTCTTAACCAGCTTATAAACTTATAACTTCATTAAACATTATCAAAATGCCTCTATTTTCTAGCCGTAGGCCCGAGGAAGAAGTCGTGGAGGAGCCTCTCCCCGAGAAGACTGAGAAGAGACATTCACACGGTCTCTTCGGTTCCCGTCACCGGTCACCTTCTCCTGCCACCACTCATAGCAGCACGACCAATAGTTCAAGGAACTCAGGTATGGTTTATTAATATGCCGTACACTTATATAAAATCGGGATAATCTTACTAAATTATTCATTCAGACATTTCATCCCCTTCGCGCCACCGAAGCGTGCTACAACGTACCTTCGGACATGGTAACACTACCAACCCGGACATCGACCCGTCAATCGTCCAGGCCCGCGAGCGTGTCATGCAGGCCGAGACGGCTGAACGGGACGCCGATAGAGCTTTAGAGTCAGCCCGTATCCGTGTTCGCGAAGCTAGGGCCGATGTTAAGAGACTTGAGCTGGAGGCTGCCGAGGAAGCCCGACGGGCAAAGATCAAGCAGTACCACGCCCGCGAAGTCTCAAAGCGGGGCAAGCAACTTGGCCGTATGCATCCCATAAAACATCTTGTTTTATATGTCATTGTCGCTAACTAACATAAATTAGGTCACGATGTCTAAGCTATCATTTGAGCACTGAAAAATAAAGAGATAACGAATGTTATGTTGGAGTTAACTGAGAGCTTGGTGGTTGTTAGAAATGATACCTATTCCATTTCTGTATTATCACAGAGTAAGAGTCTCCGTGGCGCTGGATGTCTGATGAATGTATTGTATTATGAAGTATGAGCATCTGATTATAATCGAAAATATAAATCCCCATTTCAATTTGAACTACTATTGATGCATACCATTAAACATCTAAGTAGCTGGGAAGATTTGCATACCAGTGTTACTAAAGGAATTTCCGTAGAGCAAAGAGGCCTGTATTACCCCTTTGTATGCTTAAGATCACCAAAATTGAAGTATTACTTATTATCACATTCTCAGTACCGATATAGACCTAGCGATCCCTTATATCCTTTCATTTTAAGCATTGTTGTGTGTTTTATGTCTTGGATTTGACCTTTTCTTCTAAGACAGTCATTGTTTTAATGACGTCGGTCTCCATCAGGTATGCGACAAGAGAAGAGCCTCCTTCATGCTCATCATACAAACACTGGAAAGATTAGCAACATAGCTCAGCTTTATGATATCCATTAGGTACTTTCCAAACACTACCTTATTCATTTTTGGCTATTTTATCAAATCAAAATGATGTACCCAAGGTACCTAAGTCAACCTTCTAAGAATAGACCTAAGAATAGAAACCAGGAGTTCGATCGCGGATTACTATAGATTACTAAGTGGAGGGTTTTTATAAGATATTATCATATTTCTAAATAAGACGATAAAAAAAGTCTTAGTAAAAATAACAGCCGTTAAATTTAAGACTATGCAGATAATAGGTAGGTAAGAATTTAAACATGTTAAAATGTGTTATAAAAATCACTTTGAATTCAATTGACAGATGGTTAGGTAATTGCGATACATGAAATCGCTGCTGCTGCCGGTCCTACCGGTCCTACCGTTGCTAAGCCACATCCAGTCGTAACGGGCCACGACGCTAATGATAAGAATATGGTGTAGATATGCACTTACAAGGATACCTTTTTATCATACATCTGCATCAAATCCGCAGAGCCGGAGCTAATGCCAAGAAACGATAAATCGAAAAAGGGGGGTGGGGGTGTAAGTAAGAGAGAGGTAGGCTTGAAACCGGAAGAGCCAAGACATTAATCACAAGCATCCAGGAACCATTGTTTCTATCTTTTTTTTTTTCGTTAAACTTTCGAAGCTCTCGAAAGTGGCCTTGAGCCGCAATTCATCCCATCTACCTACATCGGCCTATACCCTACAAACAAGCTTAAAACTCTATGAGATAGCTTCACTAGCTACATGCATCCCTTTCTTCTTCAGGGTTTCTCATGATACCTCTGAACCTGGTCAATTGCTCTTCCGAAATTTGCTGCATGCCTCTCCGACCCGTATCATTCTCCAGCTGGCTCCCGTAGTCTACAATCCCCGACGCGAACGAATTTCAACTAATCGACATGGCAAATCGCAAAATGCTCTCCTTTAAGAGAGCTATTATCTTCGCAGCATTCTTCTTAGTAGCATTTATCTTGTTACGAAGATCACACGCCTCAGCTGACGAGCCCGAACCCTTCCGGAAACCTCCACCGAAGCCTGCAGACTCAAATAGCGAACATGTCGAAGTATCACACGGCCAGTCTACTCCTTCCTATACTTCGGATGGGGAATCCGACAAACCAATCCCTGCGCAGAAAGCCCTGCAAGATATGTCCAAGATGTCTTTATACGACAAATTAGCATACCAATACCCATACGACGTCGAGACCAAGTTCCCAGCCTATATTTGGCAAACATGGAAATGGACGCCTGCTAGTGGAGAGTTCAACTTTAGAGACCAAGAAGCTTCATGGTCGATGCAGCACCCAGGTTTTGTCCACGAAGTCATCACCGATCAAGTCGCCGTACACTTACTAAGGTTGCTCTATGCTCCTATTCCCGAAGTCCTCGAAGCGTACAATGCGCTCCCCCAACCTGTTCTAAAAGCCGACTTCTTCCGTTATCTGATACTTCTTGCCCGTGGTGGAATTTACTCCGACATCGACACGTTCGCTATCAGGAGTGCTTTAGAATGGATCCCAGAATCTGTGCCGAAGGAAAGCATAGGACTGGTCATCGGCATCGAGGCGGATCCCGACCGACCCGATTGGAAAGACTGGTATAGCCGGCGCATTCAATTCTGCCAATGGACTATACAGGCAAAACCGGGCCACCCGGTCTTACGCGATATCGTTTCGCGCATCACCCAGGAAACATTGAAGCGGAAGCGCGAAGGCACGTTCGTGTCAAGGGAAAAGAGCGTAGTAGAGTTTACCGGTCCTGCTGTCTGGACGGACGTGATTTTCGACTACTTTAACGACCCGCGTTACTTCGATATGAGCAATAGTCAGGGCAATGTTTCATACGTAAACTTCACAGGGATTGAAAAGCCGAAGAAGGTGGGCGATATTGTGGTGCTTCCCATTACAAGCTTCTCGCCTGGCGTTCAACAGATGGGAGCAAAGGACTATGACGACCCAATGGCATTCGTCAAACATGACTTCGAAGGTAAGGTTTCCGCTCTACTTAGCTAGGTATCTTTTGTTGACATCCTTAGGCACCTGGAAACCTGAGAGTGAACGGCATATTGGCGAGACTAACTAGGGGCTATTGATAGCCCCTTCGATACCCTAGGTCGCCTCCAGGCTATCGTCTCGTCTCCTGGGAAATTTGGCCTGCTAGATAGGTCTCCTCCGGCAAGAATAGGAACACATCAGCTTCCTGGTCTGATATCACGAACTCGGCGATCGTATACAAGATTTGTAACACTATTTTGCTACTTACGAAGTTTACGACCGGTCTCATGTGATAGCGTATGCCTGATTTTTTTTTTCCCACGGGAATGTTAAAGCAGTCACTCATTACTAAGTCTCTGTCCAAAATTATATGAGTGGAAGCTGTCACGTTGACTCGGATGAGAAATTTGCAAGTTTCTGCCCGACTATTTTGTACCAAGAGTCTATTATTTTATTTCCGAAGATGGTGGCTGGCCGGCGCCGGGTGCGGACTTTTCGGCGGACACATGGAACAAATAGAATACATACGGTTATTCTTTGGCGCAACAGAGAAGAAAAAGAAATGGGCATTCGGTGTGCTGCTCATCGGGGAGGACCAATTGTATATACCCGTTATGCATGGATTTGGGCGTTTGGCGGATATTTAGTCTTGCTTTTCAGCAACAACATCGACCCCATGGACAATAATAGTCTGATGGGGGTCACCTTTACAAATTGTTTCTTTTGCATATTTCTCTTAATTGTGCATACAATTGTAAGCCGATACAATCGTAAGGAGGTGTGTATAATTTCTAATACGCCCCTGGTCCCGGCCAACGCACCGGCAAACCCAAAGGCCAATTTCTCCCCCGCTTCTCCTCATCACCAGCCCCCACTTCCCCGGTACAATGACGATGTGGCTAGCTCAACAGGGGCTAGCTATGGCGGGTCCCCTCGAGTATATGTTGAACGCGCCCGCTATAGATGTTCTACAGCTGCGAGGTATCGGACAGACGAACGTGGACTGCGGGAGTCTGCGAGGCGTTGTTGCCCATCGTGTCACCCTCCCTTCTGATTTGAGATTCGCGAGGGATATGAGTAAGCGGCTCTTGTGGAGAGAATAGAGGAACCTAAGACCTTGTGGGTGCTAAGGAATCACTCGACTTGTTTTTGATTCCAGGACTTGAGTTGAAATACGCGAGATAATATGGAATTATCATTTCGACCGTTGGCGTCGAATGCCTTGCGTGGCTATACATTAAGCCGTCGGGTTTTACGATATGGCTCTACTCGAAGGTTAGCGATATCGGGGGTTTTACGCGGTTTGACGGCGAGTCGATTGATGCAGCGGAGATGTATTGCTACATCTGACCTGAGTTATGTGGAGGGACCTCAAGAAGTAAGTCATTTTTTATCTGGCTGGGTGGCTCGTTGTAGATCTTGTATGATTTGTCCACCGTTTAACCTATGTGAGGTGAAAGGGCTATTGTTTAGAATGTCATTTGCTTAAAGGGTATTATTCACTTGATTTATGCCTTAGAGCTTGAATGGACTATATGAAACGAGAAATATCTATTACAGTACAATAAAATTGCTCGGTATCGATTCATACTAATACTCGATAGCCACCATTGCTTACATGCACGATACCAGAGCATTTCTCAGGGATAGTTTCGCAATATGGCGACCGTCCAGCAGCCATATTCCGGTCTCCAACGACCGCTGACATGAACCCTACATTAACATCATCTAAACCGGAGACTACCACTTTGACATATGAGGATCTTGACACTCAGTCAAATATCCTCGCGCACTCACTGCGGTCCCTTGGCGTAAAAAAGGGGGATCGTGTCGCCGTGAGCCTAGGGAACGTCACCGAACAGGTCGTGTTAACTTATGCCATCTTTAAGTTGGGTGCCGTCTTGGTTCCGCTCAACCCGACCTTTAACGCCTACCAAATCAGCGCCGGACTGTCCCGCCTTGGCGTCGAGGTCCTCATTATCGCAGCCGTTACGGACCTCTCTTATAAGCCTTGCCGTGGCCGCAGCAACTACGACATCTTGTCTGCCCTTGTACCTGATCTATCTGATAATAAAATCGAGTCATCAACTGTCCCCACGCTCAAGTCCGTGGTGCTCGTAGATAACACACCCTCTCACCCCCTCGCAGGCTTTCCACCCATACAAGAACTTAGTGCACTAATCCCCTATTCATCACTCCTCTTATCTTCCTCCTCGTCTTCTTCTCTCTCCCGTTCGATAACACCAGACGCTCCGCTCACTCCAGCGGAAACGATTAACATTCAATTCACATCAGGCACGACGTCCATGCCAAAAGCCGCGATGCTAAACCACACCAACATCCTGAACAACGGCCGACTAATTGCGGCACGCATGGGGCTTGATCCTAGTGACAGGATAGTGTGTCCACCGCCGCTTTTCCACTGTTTCGGTTTCGTGCTAGGGTTTATGGCAAGTATAACGACGGGATCTTGTATCGCGTTCCCGAGCCCGGCCTTCGACCCTGGAGCCTCTCTGCGTGCTGGCGCGGAGTTACGCGCTACGGGGTTTTATGGTGTGCCTACTATGTTCGCGGCTGAGTTTGAGCTCCTCGCCAACCCAACTTTTGCCGCAAGTTTGCCACCAGGTGGCCTTAGTAACCTACGCAAGGGCATTGCAGCAGGTAGTTCGATTCCGGAACCGCTAATGCACGAGTTGGAAGAGAAGCTGGGGCTTAGAGAATTGGTTATCTGCTACGGGATGACGGAGACTAGTCCCGTAAGCTGCATGACAGCGCCCACGGACCCGGATAATCGACGCACTAGTACCGTGGGCCGCGCGATGCCACATACGACCGTTAAGATCGTCGCGCCGGGTGATCGGTCACGAATTGTGCCGCGTGGGCAGTGCGGCGAGCTAGCTGTGACAGGATACCTACTCATGAAGGGGTACTGGGACGACGAGGCACGAACAGGTGAGGATCTAATTCGAGATCAAGATGGTAGGTTGTGGATGTATACTGGCGATGAAGCGCGCATGGATCGCGACGGGTATGTCGAAATCACAGGCCGCATAAAGGATTTAATTATCAGGGGTGGTGAAAACATACACCCACTCGAAATCGAAACCGCACTCGTAAGACACCCGCGCGTGCGCGAAGCCAGCGTCGTGGGGGTACAGGATGAACGGTACGGCGAGGTTGTCGGCGCATTCGTAGCAGTGCACGCAGGCGTCAAGACACTAGAAGATGGCGAGGTAGACGGGGGTGAAGGGGAAGCACTGTCTAAGGATGAGGTGAGAGATTGGGTCCGCAAACAGCTTTCGGGTCATCTAGTGCCGAAGTACGTCTTTTGGACCGACGAGTTCCCCAAGACGGCCAGCGGGAAGATACAGAAGTTTAAGTTGAGGGATGATGCGAAGGAGTTACTCGGTAAGGCGGCGAAATAGATATATAAGTCTGGATTTGGAAGACTAGCATTGTATAGGTTAGGTACCTAGGTAGGTAGCTATAAGCGCGCTTTGAATATGTTTTATACCAAATACAGGCTCCCTCCTTCTGTATTATGTATATTATACCTGATCTTTCACCAAGGCATTAGTTAGCATGTCACGAAATTCAAAATGAGTATATTCTTCTCAAGTAAAAATATCAACAAGACGTGAATAAGTGGAGGAGTATTCGCAAAAGGGGTATTGCAGCAAACTTCAAAACGCCTTTGAACGAGGGTATTCCCAAAACCATCTCCTATGCAATGGACTCCAGAGGACTCTTCCTCTACTGTCCACGAAAGAACAAAATGATATCTCCAAAAATCAAGACTTTAAGCCCCCAAACACCGTAAGCACCCCTATGCAAGTTGTCAAACCTATTATATAGGTTGTAGTTTGTAACCAATTTCCCCACCCCCCCCTATTTCTTTCCGCTATCTTAGCTCACTCGCAGGTTCACTAATACGTTTAGGGCTGAGACCTCATATTTAGACATCATCTGAATTTATTCAGCCGTAGTGCATAAGTCTTTCGTAGATGATGTATTATCGCGCCGTGGCTTCTCTTTCTTGAAGTCCTTTACGGCTTCTTTCTGTGACGGAATAGAGTTTGAGTTATGAGGGATCTTGTACCGCTTAAACCGGAGGTTGTTGCGCGAAGCTTGCTGCTTATGCGCGTTACACGGGGAGCAGCTCATATCCCCAGGATTCCATCCCTTTTCTGCAAGCGCTAGAAATATAATTCCTCTTCGCTTACCGCCGTCTCTTTGACGGGATAGACGACCCTTGAAAGAATTGTCTCCCGGGGCGGCTATGGGATCTGTGACTTGGCCGCAGTGCTCATCGTCTCGGCTACAGACGCCATGCCGGAACTCGCCATCGTGAATGGGGCGTTGCTTTTGGGGAATAAGTGTGACAGAACGTTGATAACGCCGCCTTCGCCGCTAATATATATGGAGGCATATCTAAGTAACAGGAGAACGTTCCGTTCAGTGTAGAGGATGGCGGCGAAGGAGATGGTGGTAAACAAGAAGCAGAAGATAGTCCAGAAGACGGCCTTCTCTACAGGCGTATAGACATACACGCCATAGGTGACTTCGATACGGTACTTCTTGAGGCTGGCCCAGCGGACGAGAGCCTCGATTGTGGAGGGAGACGACGACATTGCAGTATAGTATTATAGTATATACTAGCTATAGTAGCTATTACGATGGCGTATCGATTATTATAATAATGTCGAGGAGTTTCAAAGATCTTGGTTACAGCCCGAGCGATCCAAGAAAAGGCAATCAAGCAAAAAGAATGCAAGTCATCGAGGAGGCAATAGGTACCTCATATTAATATAAGAGAAGCTTTTCGGCATTTAGCTTGAATTCCCTTCGGCCTTGGCATATATTAATAAACTATTGCCCGGGCTGGCGCCAGTGACATCGGAAGAAAGAGTCACGGGTGAGTGGGTACATAGAAAACTTATACCAGGTATATAATGTATGTATATGAGATAGGTACATGTATGTGTATGTGTGTAAGCAGTGGCATCTGATTCATGAAAATGGGATAGCGGATCGCAGATATGGATATTAGTGACCGCCGGATCGCTCGGAATTCCCATTTCCCATTCTTGTCTTACCTATTGTTACTACATGCGGCACCTACCTAGCATCTATGCTAACGGTAAAGACAGTCGTTGGCCCGCGCCGTAGGATTTCCGAGAGATGGATACTCGCATGGCACATGGGTTGGTAGCCTTGCGGTTCCAATATATGAAGTCGTCAGGTGGACAAGATAATACAAAGACTTGACCATATTCATACATGGGGGGTAGAACAAAGTATGTAAGATGGAAAGAATTCAAACCGAAATAGGTAGTGAAAGAAAGCAAGGATTTATCGGAGTTCCGCATAGCGCCTAAAACTCGATCACCGGTTCGGCACTATCGGGTTGAGGCTCTTTTATTTTCCTCTTATTGCCATTTCATTTCCAACCTCGCTAGCGAGGGCTGGTGACTTCGCTCGTCCTCTTCCTTATTCTAGGTAGTTATGTCTTATTCTTGCATCCTATTATTCATCCTACTAACTGGACTAAAATTCGGCTTCCACTCCTATTGTGGTGATCCAGGGATAGATAATAGATCAGGGGATGGGAATTCGTTGGATTTTGATAAGCGACAATACTGCGATGTGCTGACATATGAAGTGAAGTCGATAAACTAGCATTTGGGGGCCATTATTATTCCTTTAGAACGAACCATTGAAGTCTTCTTTCCTATTATGGTGCATTAGTCTTTCTTTATCAGGTTAGCATTCGAAGCTCGCGTAGTCAGGTTAGGCGTTAACGGTTTAGGCCGAGAATGTCAGACGCACAGGGCTGACAGCACAAGCTTTTGATGCCAACGAGTTGAGTTAGTCTGCCAAGAGTGCCCCGGAAGGGTATACCTAGTCGGCGATGATCGGGATTCGGAAAGAGTATTAAAGAATGGCATAGATAAATACCTAACCGTATGTGTCCTGCGCGAATAGTTTCTAGTTTGACTTATACACGCGATATCACAAGTAGAGTGAGACACTGTATAAAAGGAAGAATACTTCTGAGGCGAGAATGAGAGAGCACAAAAGTAAGCAAATTAGATGGCAGATGGCAGATGGCAGATGGTGGAACGGTGAATTTGGCGTATCACTGCATAAGCGACATGACCAAACTTTTACGCGCAGTTCGAAATTTGAATCATTCCTTCTATAAACAGTGTGCGCTTAGGTGAATTAGGTACTGTACAAATCTGCATCCATATGCACAATATCCTGGCCGGCAGATGGCCCATCCAAACATTCGGAAAACTCGGGTAGTCGTTCGGTCACGCCTACAACCCTCGAGCCAACCACCGGCGAGCCGCGCTGAGGGTCGGGTCGATAGCAAGGAAAGAAGCTTCTATGTAGTTTAGACCCGCCGCGCCAGGTTCTTTTCAGTCATAAGGTCCGATTTGAAGACTTTTGGAAAAGAGCTCATCGTACGAACTTACTGACTATCGTGCGATGTCACCGGAGCAAACGTCGCGGTAACCGATTTCTTCCGCGCTGGATCTTATAGCTCGCTAGGTCACGTTCGTCTAACATCCGGTAAGACCGACTTTGAGATATACTCAGACACATGGTATTAACGGTTTGGAGGGAGCTGGCCTGTTTGCTCCGAGTATAGCCGAGTAAGAAAGTTGCAATGCCCTAGGTTCGTATAATATAACATAGGCAACACTTTGCACATCTTACATATAAAATTAGGAGAGAGTTTTCTCCTGATTTAAGGGTCGCGACTCTTAGTCATGAGTCTTTTAGGTTGCCTTATGCGCATGGCAACTCCCAGCGAAGGTTTCCCGGTATCGCAAGGTCGCATTCTAACGGCCCATGCCGTATAGTGCCTATGGGGTACCACTACATATGCTGATGTAGTCTTTATTGTAACCTAGCTCACTACCGTCCTTGACCCCGGATATGCCGCAATACGGCCAATCATATCCATTTACCCGGGTTTGTCGGATAGGGGAGCAATCAGATCGTAAGTATAGCCATTGACTCGTTCGATCGTCATTATGAGCGCTTATCTCAGATTAATATCTCACGAACTGGGACTTGAGAAAGATTTAATACATGCTCTTGAGGGAACGATAGAACCTACCACCTTTAACTAATCAGATACAAGGCCGTTTACACTATATACAATAGTGAACGTACATTCAAATTGACAAAAGGCAATTATAATCTTCGAAGATTTCTATAAGGCCACAAATATTTTGAGGGGCTAAGTTTAGAGACAGACAAGGGCTTTCTTCGAAGAAAGTGGGTATTTTAACATTGTGTTGAGTACAGAAAGCTATCATAAATGCCCACTCGAAACTTGGCTGTTTGTGTGGGTTATACGAGCTATATCCCTTAACGGGACCACGCAAGACGAACTATTGTATGCGAAGTAATTCGGCGATCAATTCATATTGACGATGCAATCCACTCTTTCGGTTCGATCCGAGTTCAAATTGTACACGTAGTAGACTATCTTCGCGGTTCGAAACCACACCTAATAGTCCCTCGGTATCGTTGTCCCGACTTCATCGCTTCAGGCAAACACTTCCAAGAGCAACCTCTCATCGAGAAGGGGATTGCTCTCTCATTATCTCTCAAACCTACAAAATCCACGGACATTTCGTTTGCTTTCTCGTCAACATGAAGGCGAGAAATTTTCCACCATTCAATCCACTCGGTCAAGGGCACTGCAACTCGCCGTCCGCATACCGAGCAAGGTAAGTCACCAGAATTGGCGTTCTGCTCGCTTCGATCGGCAAGCCGATGAAGCAACTCCATGAAATGGGGAGGCGTATTGGATGGAAGGTAGGACGGTAATTCCCGTAGCTGCCCAGATCGTAAACAAGCCTGGAGAGCGAATTCGAGTAGCGAAGGCACACGGCTTTGATCGCAGATAGAAGCGGTCAGATTTCGCCCGAGCCTCGGGGTTTCTGGAGATAAACAAAGATCCTCGGTTTGAATGACCTGGTTTGGATGCCCCACATTCCCATATACTGGACTATCTGCGGTAGTCGATTTTGAGTTGGGTAGTTTATACGTAGAGACCACAACCCCTCGGCTATCGCTAAATTGTACTGGCGTCCGTGCGAGTGCAACAACCTCCCACATTGAACTATGTAGTCTTTCACTAGCGAGCGCCTCAGGTCGGATAGAAGGGTCATATTGCTTGTCAATCCAGAACCGTATCCTGCTGCCATCAGGTCGTACTAGCTCGTCCCGAAAGAACACGGTTTGATCGTGCTTTACTTCGTTCCAAATATCGTCGGCAACAAAACCCAATTCGAACTTGTCTGGCTGGTAAAAGGGGTTCGGGTGTATGTTTAAAATCTCAAGTTTGCTAGGAAACCTCAACAGATCCAGCAATTCCCCTGGTAAATACCGAAGACGTGTAAGAGATATATTTAGAGTTTGAAGGTTACGAAGTTTTCCAATACTAGGAGGGAGCTCAGTAATATTGGTATTTCGCAGAGTGAGAATAGTCAAATTCTCCAGATTGAAGATAACTCCAGGAGCACGAGAAAGAGGGTTGTTAGATAAGTAAAGGGAAATAGATGGTTCCTTAGGCTGAAATGGGAAATCTTCAGCTATAGGAGGGACAGTATCGAGCATAGAAAGTTGTGATATAGTTGCATTGGAGATACTATCGATCTGGGAAGAGCTATAGCTAATTAGTGCCTGCGCGTATTATGCAGCGGCCTAGAATTTCTACACCGGCTTACGGACGAAAGGAATCACTCACGATAGGTCTATAGCTGTGCTCCCAGAATCTATAGCATCCTGTATTACTTGCCGAGCGATTGCTTCACTAGGGGAAATAACCGGGATGGGCCGAACATGTCTAAGTTGCGGTAGTTTAGATGAAGCAGGCAAATCCATTTCCGTATCTGCATCGTCATCGTCATCTGCATTCACATCCACAGAAACGTCACTTCCCATCCAAACTCCACTGTCGAATTGTCGCTCAAAGGTTCTTTTTGCTTTTGGCAAAGGTCGTACAACCTCGGGAAACGTCGAATCAGATGAGGCGAGGTGCTGTTGAAACCAGGAGCCGACATAGCGCTTCTTCCTATGTCTTCCCTGGGTATAATTCTCTACATGAGGATCATCATCGCTGGAGAAAACAGCTGGGTCGCTTGAGTTAGCATATACTGGTGGCGCAAGCGATTGGTCGCGAGCGCGTTTTCGCGTGTTAGTGAAAGTTTGGGTGTGAGAATCCCAAGACACTGCGGGGAGCTTAGGCAGGGTGGGCTCTTCATCGTCCATAATTGCGACAAGGTGATCAATACTGTATAATAAAAATGAATAAACTAAATTGCAAGGTGACCATGAAATTTGGCCCTTCAGAAATAGGTGAATTTGATTCAAATAAAAGTTGAACTTTTAGTTAAACTTTTAGTTGAAGTAAATATTAGCAAGACCCTTCGATGGTCAAGTACGTAGAGTAGGCGCGTCACGTCACGTCAAGTGTGTGAAGACCTAAGACCCACTTTCCTCAAAAAGCAAGCGCGGCTCTGCATCGCGGACTAAGCGGACATTAAAACCCCTGTACATGCAACCCGCTGTCCCAAGGTTCTGGTTCAATTAAATTCGATTCGCTGGCAGCTTTCTGTTCAAAATCCCCTTCTGTCGAAACCAACTTAACATCCATCCGTTATGCATGTTTCGGCTGGGTCTATCCAGAAATAGCTCGATGGATGAGATCGTTAGAATCGCTAATCTGTACTCCACTAGTCCATCCAGCCTCCATTATCAAGGGTTTAAAAGGGGGTCATATCGGATTGGCTACCATTTCCTGAGTCAACAATAGGACTATTCCTGCAATTCATTTTCATCGTAAGTTGTGTATTATATACCTTCGAAGTCGGATACGAATTAACTCGGTTGATATGGTAATGCGAGAACGATATGACCGCATATATGAGGCATGCTCTCAATCCCAATCATCATCATCGTCGTCGTTAGCGGCTGCATGTTTGAGATTGCCACTCTTGATCCCTTTCCCCATTAGTTGCTCTTCCTTCGCATCCTCTGCATCTCTCTTCCTTTTTACTACTCTCATGTCTTTCTCATCCACCGCGCCCACCTCGACTAGCAAGTTGTCGATATCTAACATGCTTATTCGCACACCACCCATAGTGACAAGAGTGACTATTTGTTTCGCAATATCACCATTCTTATACACAAGAATGGTTGGGCAATTGCGATCTGGATAATTTTCGATTGCCTTGTCCGCTCGTATTTCGCAGAACTTAACATCACCATATTCTTTTGCTGCCTGCGCCCAAAGCTCTGATAAAACCCTCGATTCGATGTTGGTACCAAGTGAGGATGTGAGATTGACAAAAACGAGCCCCTTGTGTGAGGCTTCTGTTACCTCACGCGAATACTCCGGTTTTGACAGCGGATAGACTGTGCCGTGTATTGACTTCTTAGTCAAACTATTTAACTCTTGAATTCGCTTCTGTCGGTACTGTTCTAGAAAAGCATCGTCTTCTTCGTCTTCTAGCGCGTCAAGCTCATCGAGCTCTTTCCCCTCCAGCCTGTTCTCATGCGCTATTCGGCGGGCCTCATGTATAGCTTCTTCTATCATAGGTGTAGGAGAGGGGGGCTTTTCGGGTATGACGCCGTGTTTACGGAGTATATCGTTCCTATCGTAGTTTATGAGATAAGAACTTAGGTTATGGGAGGGATTGTTCTGAATAGGACGTACCATTCAGTATCCGCATTTGGGTCGTCAATAGGAACAGCTATTCGCTGTTCTGTTGGAGCGGCCATCTTGATTGAATTTAATATAATCGTGGATAATGCGAGGGTAGGGTGATGTAAAGCTACAGAAGACCTATAATTACATGCAGTAAAGTACAATGAGGATATCTTCGGTTTATCTTAATATAAAGCTAAAATTTAAAGGATGCCTGATGTTGCGTTACGTAGCAGCGTAGCTAATTTACCTAAGCAACAACCCCTCTAAGTGGAGACCTTGCTAGATTCCAAGATGATGAAATAATCTAACCTTAGCTGGCAGCTGGCCGGAAGCTCTGTCAGATGTCTCACTCGGTAGTCTCGGGTTTCGGATCAGTGTTTCCAGCTCCAGCAATAAAGGTGGGTCTTTAAAAAGCCCTAGCCCTCCTCAACACTAAGCCTGATTTAGCTAAACTATAAGGGTCTTAGTTAGTTTCGCCTCTTGCCCACCAGAGCCAATCCGCCGAATCAAAATCCAGCTCTCCAAAATTTACCAAGCGAATTTTTATTCCAGGACACACACGACCTTCCCCTCAATCTCTTAACTACCTCAACCATCGTTGTTCGCAAGCACAGCCAAAATCTGCCATCAACTCCATCTTCAGATTTCGCCAGCCAATATATTGCTTGCCAATCCAACAATCAAGATACTTCTTGTAACAGTCAGACAAGATGGTAAGTTTAAATGAATCTTGTTTTTGTTTACGCTCGCCATCATGTTGTCAACCGATCTCCGCGATTTTCGATTTATCAATCATCGACGCTTCCACGATAATGTCAACATCAACATCAACAAAGGCGTTGCCTTACATCTAAACACAATGCTTAGAATGAGTGTTGCTATTGATCAGATGCTCGAGGCGGTCTAAATACAACTTTGATGTGCGGGCGGATGTTTGGATTTGCACTCACAAATGGGACCCTACTAACAAATTTTTTTTCAAGGTTCTCGCCGTTGATCTTCTCAACCCTAGCCCGGCTGCTGAGGCCAAGAAGCACAAGTTAAAGGTACGGCACCAATATGAATTTCAATATTAGACACTACTAATGTCATTGAGTAGACCTTGGTGCCTAGCCCCCGATCCTTCTTCATGGACGTCAAGTGCCCCGGCTGCTTCACAATCACCACCGTGTTCTCCCACGCCCAGACCGTCGTTATCTGCCAAGGCTGCACTACTGTCCTTTGTCAACCTACTGGTGGTAAGGCTCGATTGACTGAGGGCTGCTCTTTCCGAAGAAAGTAGAGGGTTTCGTCTCGTGTTTTCTTCGTTCTTGGGCATGGGTTACGACTTCATGGGTATAGTTCGGATATCTGCAAGGTACTCGACGGAATGGGCGCATGAAAAAAACTTGGCATATTGTCTTCCGGACATACTCGACTTCTACGAACCTCTACGTCTTTGCAGATAGACGACGGATACCAAGAACCTTAATACAAAAGGGGCGTTTGGGGTCCTGATATCTTGCATCATCCGTTTCGCTACGAATGATTTTTTCCTCATTTTTCTCGCCTTGTGTATTACGAAGTCGTCACCTTCAGACATAAGCAGGATGGTTTATTCTGCACGGGTGGATAGCTGGAAATGGCTTTCCACATGAGCATCTTCCGAGGCCTATTTCTGCCAGCGTAGGTCTCTAGATGTGAGGACGTGGAACGTTGATTGAGGATCGCTACATACCCAGCCGTAGTGATTGTTGTTTTCACTGCATTAGGCGAATTCACATGGTTCCACTAACGTTTTTGACTTTTTGCCCACCGTGACGACCGATGTCCATTGCTTCTCTCGACTTTCCATAACTGAAACTTTACCATGTAGGACCTAGCTACACGAATTGATCGCGTTTGAAGTGAAGTCATATCTTCCGCTCTTATCGTACCATGTTTTGTCCTACGGGAATACTTAGTATTCACAAGAGTAACTATCTAATTTGTAGTATTTTAGTTAGAGATCGTTGGGCGTGTAGAGTACGTAACTAAGAGACTCCTTATCTATTCGATGAATTATGATCGAATAGGCTACGTCGTCAAACATATTGGTGTATCATGGTACGCATTACACTTATGCTATTTGTTAGTTTGTCTAGATTTGAGACTTCTTAGTAGAAGGAATTGATATAAAGATTCAAATCAGGTCATAAAAGACTGAATGTTGATATTTGCCTAACTATTTAATAACCAACGGAGATGTTCAATATTAACATCATAGAAGTTCTATCGTAGAAGTTCTATCATAGAACTGAATATTGACGCCTCAAATTAGGAAGCTTAGTGGAACTAACTGTTTACGAAAAGCTAAATTCTACCTAGTGCGTGTAGGTACCTAGGTACTTAAATATAAGCTAAATGCCAAGGTTTCCATTAATGTAAACGCGTCAAAACACGCTTCGGAAAGTGCCAATTACGCGCATCGTGCAGCCTCCCCCACTTTCAACTTTAGCTATCGTCCGATCAACCCCAGATTATCCAGCCTCTTTTATAATTTCCCTTTCTTCCATCTCTATATCGCAATCTTCATAATACCCAAGACGAAATCATCGGTATCAGACAAAACATGCTTCCTTAATTTCACTGCCAATACGTAGGTAACTCTAGATTTGGAATCTTAACCTCTCAATATTCAATCCCCCCTCACCCTTTCTTGGGTACAGCTATTAGGGGCTTGGAAAGCTCACATTGCGTCATCACTATAATTTGGACTGCGAGAACCAGATCCCCGGAACTCCTTATTATCAGATCTAAGGCGTCCTATATTTGGTTCAAGTGGGCCTCGTTCGCATACAACACGTAATACCTATCCACCTATTCGTCACAGCCATGTCGGCCCCGCGAACAAAGCGTCAATTTGCAGGCGCAGCAAGCGATCCCGCCCAACGACAGATTACCTCGTTCTTCGTCTCGCAACATCCCGATACTACCTCCGCTAGTCATACCAACGCGCGGGCGCACAATACCTCTGATCCTGCCAGCCCCTCTCTTCCTGCGTCGGTGCAAGCGAACCTCCTTTCGGTTGGCATGCGAGTGCGCAAGTCTGTCCCCGAAGGCTACAAGACAGGAAGCTATAGTGCTTTTGCACTCTGGGACGAGAGCAACAACATCTCTACGGCGACGATGGGCGAGGGACGATCACGCGCTAATGCCATTTCGACGCCGCGTGAGCTCCTTCCCTTCTGCGGGATCAATAAGGTCGGCGGTTTAGGAACACAACCAGAAAACACCCAATCATTCTCCGCTGCCGCAGCCTACCAGCCGTTGCTTAGCCTCAACGGTGTGCCTCTCGAGGAGATGATGGACGAGGATGTTCCCGGCCTGACGAGTAGTCAGGACTCCGTCGAGAGTACCGGTTCAAGCATCTCTCCTACACGGACTCGCAAGCGCTCTTATACCGAGGACGAAGACGAGGCGCCCCAGACCCCAGGTCGTCTCAAAGTCGATTTCAACCCATGTTATTGGGGCGCCAGATTTGATGGCGAGATCAGCCCACGGAGCGTGGCGCCCATCGGCTGGGATGTGAGTAATGGCCGCGTCATGGCAACGCCGCGGAAGACCAAGTTTCGGGGAAACAAGCTATCAGCACACACCCTAGGTCAAGACGACGTTAAGGTAGTAGGAAGTGCCGACGGCACCGATTTTGAAGAGGCAGATTTCTTGGTCAGGACATCCGACCTAGGATACAAAGATGATCCACGAGGTTGGGAGGTCGAGATGAGCGATGTTTAAGCGTGAATGATACAAATAGTCTTTACCGTGTATTGGATAACGACAAGATACCCAGAAGAAGAGTAAGACACAAGAAGGAAAACAGGAATTGCGAAGATGAAGACGGCTAAGTTGAAGCTGTTGTATTATTTCGGATTGTCATTGGCGGGCCGGCGTTTTTAGCAAAGACTGGCATGGGTTAATGGGCTACCTGGCATTGAGGAATTTTCTCGCGTTGTACGCGAGTTGTGTTATGCTGCGTCACATTGCATACAATTATGTATCATATTAAGGACGATACCTAGAGGAAAGGGGAGGAGTACACACGGGAAACCAGTGCGTGATAGCCGAAGGTGCATCAGCTTATCTCCATAGGAGAGGACAAGGTAGTTTGTAGCATCGCATGAAAAATTGTCACAACATTGATAGAGTCTATACTCACTCGCAACTAGTATGCATAGTGTCTTAAAAATTACTAAGCTTGTATTTATTATCTAGGTAGGTAAGTAACTATACCTTCAACTACAAAACATTTGAGCGAATAGAGCAGTCTGATCATCTATTTACGTGCAAGACACTACGCATGCTTTCACCTACTCAACCTGAATCCCTCCAAACGGATCCCGGAACTCCAAAAGGTCGCGCTGTCCGTAGAACTCACCAGCTACAGTAAGGATCATGTTTAGGGTAGCGCGTTCGTTTGCCTTGGCTCTGCGAAAGTGCTCTGTCTTCGCTTCCTCTTCCTCTGCCGCGAGGGCGAGAAACGCCTCCTCTTCTAGCGCTGTAGCAGGTAACTCTTCCGGTTGTGAATCACCGTTCTTGGCCGCAGTGCTGTTAAGCTGTTCGAGCAATCGGGCCTTGGCCCTCTCTATGTCAGCCGTAGGTTCTGTTTGCTGCTGGGGTGCGTCGGATACTTCCCCGTCCTCCTCCTCTTGTGAATCTATCTCCATCTCGACGTCTGATAGCTCCATTTTTATTTCTTCAGATGGTACCTCTATTCCGACAGGTTCTTTTGCATTCAGAGAATTAGTATCCGTATCAGGTTCAATTTTGATTGTGCCGTTGTAAGGTGCAAGTTTGGGCACCCTACCGCCCAGGGGCTGACCGGGGCCACGGTAGTGAGGCTCTGGATCATTGACATCGGTGTCGATATCCTCGAAGTCACAGCATTCACCTTGGCTCGTCTCATCGATGCCTTCGTCGACCTCAACTTCGCCTTGGCTTTCGGCGTTACTATCACCGACATCGTAGTGTTCCTTCAGGACTTCCATCTCAGCCAAGCTAACCATGAGCAGGACTGCTCTCTTACCCAGCTCGCGTATCCAGCCAATCTCTTGGTAGTCGAGTTCACCTCTCTCGGGAAGACGCGCGAGCAGCGCCCATATCCACCTGCTTGTACGTTCCCGGAGCTCGTGGTTCTTACGTAAGAACTTGCCACCGAGGATAATGCGCAGCAAGCGGATAACGCCGTCTTTATGCATCCCAGCGATCTGGGCAGGCAATGGATCCGTACCCCGGAGCCGGCCAGACCACTTCGCAAATGTATCAGATCTAGGACCGAATTCGCCTACTTCAGTTGGGTTTGACCTAGGGAGAGAATATAACAAATGATTCGGTGGGTCTGCCTGTAAAACCTCGCGCAGAGCTAGAAACTGGTTTGTGAGAGATAGAAAGTACGCATCGTAGATCTCGTCAGAATTGCTATTATGCGGGCCGCCTTCGCTTGATTCATAATCGCTCGCATCGTTATATCCTAGCTCTGGGTCCTCTGGCTCTCCCCCTTCCTCACCATCGTAATCCTCGTCATAATCCTCGTCTTCATTTTCATTTTCGTCCTCGTCCTCGTCCTCATCTTCGTCAAAATAACCCGGTGGGTACGCGGTATAGGCTCCATCATGATAAAATCCTCTAAAATCACCTCGGCCATCTTTATATATGCTGCGGTCGACGGGTTCCTCGTTCTCGTCTTGTTGGTGTTCTAGATCGTCTGTGGACTGCTGTAGAGCCTTGGGTGGTTGCGGACCAGCCTTACTGGCGACCATCACATGTGGGATTGTGGATGCTTGCACTCTATACTCACCATATCAGTATTAATTGCCTAAAGAAAGCCAAGATTCCGGTTTAGCTTTGAGAGTCTGGAGATGGATGGAAGTAGTAGAGATAATCTTACCGCACAGACTTAAGGTACGCTAACGCCTCAGCATCGTCTTCGCAGTCTAGGTCGCTATCCTCAGGCGGTACAGTTGTCATGCACTCGGAGTCACCAAACGCTGATCGCTGGCCATAAGTTGAACTAGGAAGAACTGTTGATCGTACAGAGTTAGAAAATCGTTGACGGCGAAGTTTTCTAGGCAGCTCTTCGCTGTCATTTTCAGCAGTGCGCTTCGATCCCATGGCGGCCACTGGCTTTATTCAGAATGAATGCGCGTAGTGGTTAGGTTGTGTTGATTTGTTGAAGATGGATTATACGTGATAAGAAGTAGAAGAAGCTTGGTAGATGGGAATGGAAATGAGAATGAGAATAAGAATGTTTAAGGTCGAATAGATAATTGGATATGGAATACCTTTAAGGTTAAATGAGTGGGTAGTAGCTCAATAGTGGGGCGCTATTTGTGTCCACTATTTAAGCTTCAGCGCAGGTATAGAACAAAACTGTAAAGAGTCTGATTTGATAACTAACATTAGAGCCTACCTACGGTATAAATCTAGGTTAATTCATTCATAAAAGACAAGGTCACGTTGAAATATTAGCGTTTTGACAATGGTTTGAAGGAAACTTTAGCATCATAATCCAAATAAATGAGAGGTATTCGACGTACGTAGGCGCTTAGTCCATCTTATTCTTTATAGTTACCATTTTTCAAATAACTCTTCCCTTCTAGGCATTCTATTATAGCACAAGATCGATATATACTTAAAACCAAGCGCTGAAGACTAAAGTTAGGGTTAATATTAAGGTGTATGTTAGTCTTATGAAAGTGTCATTCTACAAGTACTTATTTCTACTAGTCCTTAGGTAGCTAGTTAAAATGTACCTAGGTAAGTTTTATGGAAGAAACAATGCATCTTATGCTTTGGGACGCGTTTCAGATTCAATTCTCGCTTTTACAGGCCGTACGTGGCCATTGGTATATTACATTAGTAGTACGATACATATATGGCCCAGAACCTAATGCCATGACTTGAGGACGTTGGGAGGTTTGGCCTTTAGGTAGCATATAATATCAACACGAGAGAGCATGCCTAGGTACTTATCAGTCAATCCTATACTATCTGGTTGACGAGGATATGAGATTACTAGAAATATTTCTCTTCGTGTAAAACTGCATAGCAAGGATCAACTGGCCCCCAATATGACCTATAACTGCAATGTACATACCTACTCATACCATCACAGTCTTCCAAAATGTTCGTCGGTTCTATTAACGGCTTTGTATCGTATTCAAACCGTAAGCCCTGTGATGTAAAGGAGATAACTCCGTGCTTCTAAGTGGCGCTAAGAGCCTAGCCTTCTAACGAGGGTTTGAAAATATTATCACTATAACTTATAATATTAGAATCCAACAATTTCTGAGCTAGTTTTCGTGGCCCCCAGTGTTACCATCATGGGTATCGGCATATGCTATATTGATTGCGGATGCCTTCAGCTTCCGGCCCTAAATGACTTATACACGAAGTCTATAAATCGGTATCATATTCCCCCACCTCGTTTCTTGTCCGAGCCTCTTGTTTTCTGGGATCTTGCAAGCGAGTTCGAATTTATGGTAATAAATATGTTGATAGTTGATATATTCAATGCTCTACCGCTCAGCTAGATAACTAGGTACCTAGGTATGGAGAAAGTGATATATTCTTAATAATGTCCCAATAAAAACGTAGCGATAGGTACACGACATTCGAATTAGCAATGCTAGTATTTATAGACTTTATAGTAGGGAAGCTGGGTAGACAAGAAAATACCGAACACATGCTTTCCGTGGCTTTCCGCCTCAGACAGAAGCCGTCTTACCACGGAACCAGAAAGGGGTCGCCAAGGGTTACTTCGTAGGTATATATTGCATTTGTATTCCGATAACTGCTAGGATTACCTGTCTAGGATCTCCTTCTACCTATTAGAATGCGAGCCGCGGGGAAATATTGAATCCACTCTGGCATGAGCTTAATTTGACTTCGTTGGCTTTCTAATCTTCAAGTTCTATAGTTTTCTGGTGTCTACAATATAATGCAAATCATGATCAACTTAAATCTTGTCACAGTGTTTTAATTCTATACTTTCGTAATGTATACTCAGTCCCGAGGAATATGTCCTTTGGTCAATTTAATGTCACTTGTCTATTTTTCGCGCATTTTCGTATTCGGTATCTAGTAATTATGTCGTTAATTAAAGGGGACCCCCCTAAAGTCCTATTGCCTTACATGGCCTGCAACATAGGTGCTTAAGTACGCAATCTTATAATTAATGAGAATTTCAGAATTCCTTTGGAGGGAATATCATTTGGGACGTAACCGGTGTTGGCCGTCAACTCATTTTCGAATACGAAGGGATTCCATTGAGAATCTGAAGCTGAGCTTATTGATCATCTCGCTTCGATTGGCTACCTGTGTATCGAGTACTCCGCCATCACCGTGGCTGTGCGCATAAAATAAGGTAACCTGGTGATGTTAGACATTGTGGCTTGCGTCAGGTCCTCAATTTTCTTACCACATCTCAGAAGAATGGTGTTTGCCTTCTCGGATATGCCAGCCCTTTTCGAAGTTAAACGTATTGGGTAAATTCCCGTGCGATGTTTGCTCGGGAACAACTATGGTGTGTGTCGCTAGTCATTTCCGCGTGTAGGGAGGGAGGATTTGATCGCGAAGTATTTCACCTGGATTTGGTTGAATACAAGATAATACATGCCCGTGTCGTCTAGACCACCGAGTTTATTAATTAGATTAGGTACTTATTTTCGGTAACTATATACCATTCACGGCGTTCCAAGCCATTGTGATGGAATTATTGGGCACATTTTAGCTATTGGTTCGGAGATAAGCGTATTATGGCTGCCTTGAGAGAGCATTGCTAACACAGCAGTGCTAGTGGTGGCGATAGTCTCTTTTATACCTTTAGTTTATATTAGAGGTGGCGTCTATGGGTTCCCTATGAAAATTTTTTATGTTGCAAATTTCTATTACTAAATTCATACAGAAACACATTCTTTCTATTTAGACAAACTGTGTCTAGCACAGCAATTTTTGGCTCCCTAGTCCAGCTACATAGTACTGTTCAGTCCTGTAACATAAACATGGCACCTTACCCACAATGAGAACTCTAAGCTTGAGTTATCTTACTCGTTTCCCTGGCTCTCACGGATAGGACATTTCATCTATTGCGTGGAAGCTCGTGCTTCCTTACGTTGGGCCCATTTTCCTCTAATAAAGGGGTATCTGTTCCCTGGACTGCCTTATTCGACATGTTATACCAACAAGTCCATGGCTCTTCGCTGTTTATATAACTTGTAATGACATTTGCCTGAAATTCATTCTCTTTGCAGCTTGTCCCGTCCTTACACTGGCTTGTTGCATCATCTTCTTGCGTGGCCTGACTGGCAGAGTCCCTTTTAAGAGTCAGTTAATATCATCACCAATATTTCGTCAAACTTACAAAACGATAGAACCTTGGTTGTTTTCGATAGACCACCTTCGCGCATAGGGAGGATCCCCAGAGTCGTTGAACCCCGGCTGGGTTCCTTGGTAGTGAGTGTACGAGCCTTGTAACTGACTGGATACGTTATCCGCCCACGTCGTATCGCCGTGGTTGTCCGCTACGTCTGATGCTGGCGGCGAATATGTCAACGGTACCCCATACCTGTATAGGGTTGGATTGCCGCCGTGGGCATCAGACTGGCTATACGGATTCGTGTTGCTGGAAATGGTGGTTGAGTCCATATAAGTGTTTGTTAAGGAGGAGTCCGTTTGATACGATCTACGCCAGGCATCGCTGATGTAAGTGGTGTCGCTCGTGTTGCTTGTTGGGTATGGGAACGATACACCTAGATTCGAATGGTGATGGTATGATCCTGCTAGTGGATGCGAATCGCAGAGATTAAAAGTTGTTCTGTACGCCACAGCGTCGGTATCGCCTTCTTCGTGGGTGAAAGTAGGAACTGTCTGAGAGGAGACTGTATGGATATCGGCCGGAGGATATGGAGTAAGGCTCCTATTTTCGGCTCGAGTTAAAAAATCGATGCTAGTTGCAGTTAACTGACCAGCTGTTTTGACGCTAGCCTGGGCATTAGAGGGTCTGTTATTGCTAGAAGACCCGTGCTGACGACTAGGATCAATGTCATAGCCTTGATGGTCCCTAAGATAATTATCTAAGGTCCTATTGACGTTACTAGACGTTTGAGGAACTCGCTGACATGGACGGCGGGGGTGAGCGCTCTTGTGAGGCTTACTGGACGTTGGCCGGTCGTGATTCCCGAGACCATCGAATCGATGGTCCGCCATATCTGATTCACCTCTGGTGACGTTGAGGTATTAAGGTTCGATACGGAGCTTGATATTGAAAGAAAATGCGAGCGTGGATTAGGTGAGCTTTTTATGGACAATTAAGGCTTGGGACTCGAAGGATCTCGGACACTCTCTATTTTGCCTTTAAAAAAAGGAAGCCTTGTTAGGAGACCAAGAGCGTCACCCAATCACTTTCCGCTTGCCCTTAAGTAAACTACCAGGAGTGGGTCGCGGACAAGGCATAATAGGAGGAGCATATATACATACGATGAAAGAGGATACCGAGCCATAGGCCACTGCTGGAAAGACCACGGGAATAAGCTAGCAAAAGCCTCCTTTTCACATGAATGGGACGTACGATCATGCACCTCCTATGAGCACGTCGCTGCTGAATTGTCATCGCTTATCAAAGCTTTCGAGGTCGTTGGTAAGACTGAAATACATTCTGCCTAGCACCAGGCAACCCTTGATCTAGGAGAACATATGGTGAGGGGCAGCGGGAGTCAAGTAGCTAGGAAGCATAAGGCAATCAATCTATCGGATTCCTTGTTGGTGGGCTGGGAGCCTTTGATTCAGCTGAAAAAGCGAAGAAGCACAACATTCTATTCTATTAAAACGACGCGCTTCCCTTAATGTGAGGTCTTTTGGCTTTTTAAACGTTACTTCGGTCAGCGACATACGAGAGTGTTATAGGCTCTTATAACCCCAGAACTCATGTGGTTGCAGTTTAGGTTAGGCGATCTGGCAGCTCGAAGCGACACCATGTGAATACTCCCCCCTACAATACGAACCTCGAATGCCGGCGGGGTAATGGGCTGCGTAACGTCCGATATTCAGCTTTGCCTTAAGAGATAGCTCGCGTTGCCCGTTAGGAGCGTATCATCGGGCGGCTTGCAGAACTGTATATCAGCGGGCACACGAAGTATGCGACGGAAAGCAGGCCCATTGTTGGATTGTCGAGCAGTTCAATGATTCAACTCGTCTCATACACTCTCCGCGATCCGTTATTACATTCATACAGTCTGAAGATCATCTTTAGCTTTTACTCGCCTTAGGTACTCAGACCTACCTCCTACATCTTTATCGAATAAGACCGCCACAAGATATCTTAATATGGTCAGATATGGTTACTTCATGCATAATATGTAGCCTGTAGTTTCATTAAGACGGAGGATCTTAGCCCGTATTGGAGATCTTACAGAGTAGCTCTTGGTTCTTGGTTTGGGGGACGAATAGGGGAAGTTTGGAATATAGGTGGTCGCACAGCAGCCTTGAACACCAAATACACATTGTAACTAGATACAGTAGGTGCTCTATCAGACGCGGGGGTCACATAACATGGTATACCGCAAGCTAGGTAGCCAATCGCTTAGACCTGCGTGGGCGTTCTCAGTGCTCTTGCGGCGCTCTAATGTAGTGGCGTTTTAGAGCAAAAACAGCCGCGACAAGCCGTTATTCGTTTTCAAACTAAGAATCATCGAATGGTGTAAGGCATGTAATAGCGAGCCAGCCAGCCAAGAGTAGCTATCTCTATGATATGTCGATCAAATATGGCGTTCAATGAAGCATCGGTTCTTTATCACTGCCGATGAGATCATGGGGATGGGTTTGTATAGAACTCAGATTAGGGACCACATCTACGTTCTCTCGGGAAGTACAGGGGGATTCATACTCAGACTAGTGTTGGAAGCTCATTGGAAATATGTATTGCTCGAGGTCTATGAAGATAAGTTCTTTTCCCCTAAAAATAGAACTTCCGAACTAACGAATTTCACAGAAGGCAATCAGTGATGCGCTATTCGGCCATGATCATACATTCGTCGACAATTGCGCAAGAGATGCAGATGACGTTGCAGTCACTTGATCATATCAAAAACTTGAGCTTTTCACACTCGGCAAGCTGGTATTGTAGTAGCCCAGAGCACGTATTTTAAGCAGCGGAATTCTCAATGGATGGCGCACCCAAAACCTGAGTTCTGATGTAACTTCAACCTTAAACCTACATTAAGCTGAACATCTCGTCCCCGCTACTTTACTATACCTCCGGTTTCTGAAACGTGCCGGAATCGTTCGCTTCCACCTGCTGTTGTTTCCAGCGATATCCCTTTTCGACGCCAAGTCTTTTCTGAGCCGTACAGCACAGCTGCTCGTTTCCGCAGTCACACTCTCCGCCCTCTCTCAACCATCGATACGTGATACTCCACCGGTCATCGCGTTTCCTCACTGTGCCGTCCAGTAACTTATCCGTCTTTCGCTTTCTGATTCCATGCGTCCAGTGCAGTCTAGAATCTCCTGACATCTGCATCATACTGCGCGGCGTCAAGTCGACGTCGACTCGCTGCTCACCCTTCTGGAACTGCATTATGACGGGTGAGCCGAGAGATAAAGCGTAAAGCTGATCATATGCAGAGTGCGTATCTACATGGGGCGGAATCCCAGATCCGGGCGGGTAATATTGTAAGCATACTTGCTCCGGAGGTCGTCCCTCTCTGGTAGGGATGAGTGGCTGAAGCCATTCTGGAAATGGCTTGAAAGGAATATCGGGGTCCACACCAAAGGTCTTGTAGTCAAACGTGTAACCAAAGTGAAGTGATATTCTGCCGGTGCGGTCTGGCCATTCTAGTTTGTTGCGAAACATGTTGATGAGTTCCCGCTCATGCTCTGGTGTGATGAAATTGTCTTGCCAAAAGATGCCCGAGGGCTCAATCGGAAGTTCTAGCATCTTGCTTAAAGCTGAACCATGCTATTCTTAGTTTTTAAGTGCGGTACTCTTATTGCTATTCATGAGGCATGTTGATCGAATGTCCTGATGATTTCTGTGCGTTTTTACAGCTGATGTTTTTATGAGTGGATCGCGCGAGCTAGACAACCAGGTAAATTGCCGAAGGAGTGAGATTTTCCCCAATATCAGACTCGACTACATCCAATAAAGCAGCTTTATACGTTCTCAATACATGGTCAACTACCACTGGAAAGTGATCTGCGGAAGCAGCAAGCCCCTGAGGATTCTGACAGATTTCTCAAGAAAAAGAAAAACTATTATTTTATCTCAGTAAAATGTAAAATTTTGGTCTCAGCTCAGGATCTAGGTAAATGTGGCCCGTGCGTAGCACTAGATTCCGAGATTGTAAAAATCCGCATCCTATTTCGCCGGGGTTTTGCTCTAAGGAACATCAAGTCGGACACGGAAACCAAGTGCTTGGCAACCGGTCCGATCGAACATTTCGGACGAAGCTACCGCTAGAGCTTATAGAGTACGGTATTAATTTTGTCAGTGCTGTAGTATTACAACACATCCCTTCGCGCTTAGCAAAGAGGTAGTGACTGAATAATAGGTAGTTTAGTTGAATTCCCTGAAGCCGGAAGTAAAGACAGGGCTTTTGCTGATTATTAACCGTCAACAACCCTGCGGCCAAGCTAGGGCAAATCAAGGAGACCAATTGGCTGTGTCGCAAGCCCGCGTCAAGCTCATCACGACTCATAGTAAAGCAGCAACGGCTCAGGGACTTAGACAGCGAGGGAAGTTCCCAGAGTCTATTATTACCACCACACGCTGACAACATCCTCGTTCATAATAACAAATGTCTTGTAATATGATGACGTATCTATTTGAATAAGGTAGGTGGTTTAGTTGAATGTGCCCGGATGTGGCTTAAGGTAGTCCAATCTCTTTGGTAAAGACAATCTAGGTAAATTGAAGTCACCTACCCGTCGTCACACGGCGTTAGGCTTATGATAGGAGAATAAAATCCAATCGTGTAGGTAATTATCTTATCCCATCCATGTATGTTTGTGTTTGGACTCGTAGACATACCCAATCGCCGTCTCTTGTTTGTCTAACTATTTCAGAACCTTATACAACCAACCGGTAGTTTCGCCTCTAATAGAGCCTGTATTACTCTGTTGTTTATACTTCACTGTTAATTTAATTTTATTCTCTCGGTAATGATATACGAGGTGTCCCTTATCTATAGTCTTATAGTATTTTAATTAACATGAACCTCCTGTTCTTTTTTGTTATCAGTACAATACTTTCACGAGCACCAATGTCTTGAGATAGGCGTATGGTAGTTCGAATCGACTCCAAAGCCAATCGGTCTATTTTCCACATGCTTCCTGTATCAAGAGATCTTCGGATCACTCGAATAACCTCATCCGATCTACTTATCATATGCAGGTAGCTACATGTAAACAGAGATGTTTCGAGCGGGGTTCTTGTATTGCATCAACTCCTTTTTCATATCTAAGTTTATATATACCTCGTTCAATTAAGCCTAATTCATGTAGATCGCATCGTCCTGCCAGGATTGCTCACGAACTTAAGAAAGAGGTAGTCAACGTGGCCAGTTTTCCCACCCGCTAAGCTCGGCTCCGAAGGAAAAGGTTCCGCGGTTGGGTGGCGTCAAGCCACTTCTGCATTGGGGTTTCAGTCGCTGGTACGGTGGGTTGTTATATATCCTATCAAGCGTATCTATCGCGTTCATCTTTTTAAAAACGCGTACTCTAGAAGACGTACTTGGGGTAGCTATATGTCCAAACTTCGTCATCTGGCTTGAATACCTTGCTGCTTACCTACCACCTAGGTACGTCTCGGAAACGATGAAGTTCGATTGATCAGTGATTCGTACCCGGGAAAACATCCGAGATACCCCGGACAGGGCCCTATGCAAGAGAGTAGGTACCACGGCATTACAGTTGCCATTCCGGGGAGCGTTTACTTTCTCCGCAAGCTGCATACGGAATGAGGTATCTACGACTGAGTAGAGATTGGAGCCGTAGATCTCGTGTGTAACCCCAGGGCTGACGACATGTCAGTAGGTAAAATAACGCCCGTCAGTTGAATCTAGTTCATGCATGATCACATGGAGGATTCCCCGGATCGCCATTAATATTATTCTTGCAGAATCAATCCAAGCTAGGTATTCTTTCAAGATTTTTTGTTTTGACCAACTTGAAGATAGCACCATAACCAAAAGTTTCACAAATACAAACCCTCGGAAGATGCTACAACGCCTCAGCATCTTATAAAGTATTATTTCGGCATGGGGTAGCCATAGTGAACCCACATATCTAAATAGTATGCCGATTAAATTAACATGTACCTTTAAGCATTATATATGTTCAGAATTAAAGTTGGATTATCGTACACCAACCCAAGTCAGCCACTAAATTAATGCCTCTAATCCGAAAACAAGAATTTACCCTAGAATATTCTGTACGGGGTCTTCTTTAAGAAAAACTTACTTATTAATTCGTACTAAGTACTTTATAATGAGGAAAATATCACTTCCCTAAGGAATAGCGGGCTAGTCATTTGGGATTATTATCGTCACAGGCTTAGCTGCGAGATGATCGACATGAAATACGTCAATAGAGGCTAAAAGAAGCGATAATGGGATAGAAGGAGTTATTCGAAGGAGCGGTGGAATGATAGTGTATTCGCCGGTTTCGAGTCTGTAACTGCAAGTGGACTAAAATGGTTACTTACTACAGAATGTGGCGGTCATCTGTCAGGTAGTTCAAGAAGCAAGAATGATTACAATGTATGCGGCTATGTTAAGTAAAACTGAGTTGAATTGTGGGTGAATAGGTCGGTAGTATCTGTTATTCCCGGGAGCCAGACCACTCATCAACTCAGCAGTGAGAAAACAATCATGTTATTGCACGAATACAAATATGATTACATAAGACTATGGGTTTTACATATGACTATACATATAACTACTTATATGATACGTTATAATGGTCCTAAGATAAAATTCCTAACATCCCGCTTTTAAACCCATTTGCCTTGAGGCAGTCTTAATGAACTTCAATCGAAATACAGCCATCATAATACAAACAAGAAACGGTAGAATAATTATGTAGTTACGTAGGTGAAGAGTCCCTCAAGGAAGAACGAAGTTATTTCCATGCTAATTGCTCTGCCACGTAGCCAGGACTGTAAAATGTAACTGTAGAAAGTCCAAGATACATCCTCTTGATATCTCTCGGTCTAATATATATATTCTAACTAAAACATACTTATCTAGTAACTAACTAAACAGTAAAGTATGTATATGTTATCCTCTACTTTCTACCCCTTTTCAGTGTGAAATCAGTATAGAAAAACATAAGTTCAATAGAAGGTGTCTTAATCCAACTAACAACGAATATCATATGAAAAATCTAACCGAAAAAGATGACATATTGCATAGCTAAGCGTGGAAGATTTGCTATATTGCTTCTAGTACTAAACTTACTTTAGGTAGTATAGTATCTCTTTATATTCGTGAATATAAGGTAGGTACCTATATACAATATGCAAACTACATATTTATAACGTATATGAATTTGACCAGCTCTTATATCTAGTCCTATTAATCTTATGCTTTGGTATTACCCCCCCCCCTCCCCCTTTAGTGATAAAACTTTATTAATTAGGTATTCTCTATATTAATAGAGGTACATACGAACTTATGCTACAGTAGTTATATGGCTTTAAGAACTATCGGGACAACGGTATAACTATATGTTTAGTCGTAGATTTACTTTATATTACCTCAGGTACCTGGAGAGCGATACACCTAAATTAGGCTTTTATTCTGCAAATAAGTAACCATATAGATACATGTTTACCGAACACTATTGTATCTTACCTCTCTTAATAGATCTATTATGATCTTAATTTCGAAAAATCCTTTCTTACTTTCAAGCCCCTATATTCACTCTTCGCGTTATATTTGGCGGTATATCGTTGAAAGGTGAGGTATAAGCTGTTAAGAGATTCAGGACAGAGAGTTTGAAACCATGTCCGTGATCTATTCCTAGTGTGGTAAATGGTGTATTAGAGACCTACGCCGAAGAAACCCCTAGCAGTATGCTTCAAAGAACCGGGCGGCATATTCTAGGTTGACAGGATGTAACATAGAAGCGGGTATCTTCGGTTGACAGAATAGTATACCTGTACGATACCTTCGTGTGCTTTCTTAGAGCCCTTTCTATTCTTTCTATCACAGATTCCCCTTCCTTATTTCGCGAGATTATAGGAGGCTCTATTAAGAGTAGGACTTCGGTAGAATGACGTGAAGGACGATGTGGGTATAAGTTCGATGATGCCGTTGGCCTCGGACACCCCCTACTGAGAGCATATTTATGGGTCTAAGCGGTAGCGATACTATAGGATACGGCGCGGTGGAGTTCGGGCGTTTGAAGTGTTAAGTTTTCGGCGGCATGGTTATCAAGCTTTGTAATTAGCTACGTCGACTTCTTCTATTTCGAGGCAAGTTATTTGAATATTTCGCTCTTTTGAGCCCCTAACATCGATGTCTGAGACAATGCGTAGCTCGTATTTTCTACGCACCGTAGAGATTGGGCTATAACGAAGTTCGAGTCTTGACCCATAGGAAGTAAGGCCATGTTGATGTTTTTATTGTAGATCGAAGGATCTGACGGGGTAAATATATTGGCATTTGGATTGTTCGGACTTGAAAGCAGGAATAGATAATCATGAACCTTCTTTTTTAATGTTGAAACTCCTCTAACCGGTAGAGGTGTGCCCTTCAAGTAAACACTTCTTTAATATATTTATTATCGATTGCTGATGACACTTTTGCTTATTTGGTTGAGTAGTTGATGAATCTTCGCTGAAGTGCGCGTCAGGCGATGTCCACGACGTGTTTTGATGCATAAGGACACGGGATCGGATAGGAAAGAACGGTTTACATGGGCCGTAATCGAGAC